ATGAAGAGCAACAAAAAGAGCACCATCACATGCCAAAAACATATCATAAACACACCAAACATATATACTGTAATTTATCATTAGAACGAACACTACATGCCCTTTTTGTGAGATTAATGCTCGATTTCACCATTTGGGAGACCATCCATGACCATCCATGACCATCCACATCGGTCGAACATCAAGACGACCACGCCAGGCGAACTCGGGCGAGGCGCGTTCGACACGACGCCGCGGCGCTTCGACTCGTGTGGCGAACTCGGGCGAGGCCGCAACTCGGAGAGGTTGTTTTTGGCTTCCCTGACCTACTTGCGATGGCCTGCAACCTACTTGCGATGGACACCAACCTATTAGCGATGGCCTCCAACCTGCTCACGGCCTCCAACCTAGAAACGATGACCTCCAACCTAATAGCGATGGCCTCCAAGTGGTTTTTTGACTTCCTGACGATGCTGAGTTGGCTTTCATCCCAGGGATTCCTAGCCAACTGTGCAACAATTATGCCTTTTCATTCCATAAAACCAGCCAAGTTCGGCATAAATGTTGCATAGTTGGAAGATCCAGGTATGGGTGTGTAGCTCAAATAGGGAGAGCTCCCAGGCAGCGACCCCCCTGGAAAAAGGATGAACAAGGAACATTATAGACCAGTCTACCCAGCCAGGGCCAGGGTGCCTCCCTATTGCCAGACACCCATTTGATGGGTGTCATATGTTTGCGTTTTAGATGTCCTGTTTCTTTTGTTTCCCACGCACCCTCCGGGAGAAAAACGGTTGGACGGAATGCTTAATCGAAGCCGGTCGCCAGGGAAACGGCCTACTCGTGGGTCGATGAGGTCGTCGTCTTGGGTTTGGGGTATCTAACTCCAACAGTCCATGGGATATGACCCTACCCTAAGAAGAGACGAATCCTTGCTCCCTCCAGGCTACAGGGGTTGGACCCTCCATAGCAGAGGGTCCGGACCCTCAAAACCTGTATTTCAGGGCCCGGATTCTTGGGGTATCAAAAAAGAAACAGCCGGACCACTCATTTTCCGAGGTACGATCTGAGGGTTCAAGGTGCAAGAACATTTGATTGAACCGTCACATACTGTGAACGTGCGTAGGCCATCAGCTGCCGTCTACGCGGACTGTGAGTCAAAAAGCTGGGGATTGGTGAAGATCCCCAAGTAGAGTGCTTTCAGACTAAACACAACACTCCCTAGACAATGGGTGTTCATTTATTTTTTATTGACCACCTCTTGAATTTCGCTGGCACCATGAGCATCATGAGGTCAGCCAACCCATCCAGGGAGTGAAATGAGTGGAGACCCCTTTCTCCACCTGGCCCCATCCAGCCTCTCCAATGACTGCCCTTAGCTGCGTTCGTAGCAATGCCCTTTGTTCCGTTCGTAGCAAGGCCAGGTGCCCCGTTCGGTTCGCGGTCCGATCGCTCCGGACGAAGACGTCGCGATGCCCTTGGCTACATCGGACTCTGTTTCGGTCGGTGGCAGGTCACACCGCGCCTGCTGAGCATGGAGAGCGCGACGCCAAGATGGGATGAGTCGGCCGCGATCTCCAGGAAAAGTGGATCATCTGCAAAAGCTTCTTTTGGGGACTGGGGAACAAGAACAGGTGGAAGAGGAGTAATCAACAAAATAAACCAAACAACTTTGGGTTCACATATTTCATGGTTAACCTTTGAACCTTTACCTTCTTCCTCAACCAGCCTTTCTTCTCAACCAGCCTTTAAACCTACTGGTCGAGGGAGCCCTCGTACCGTTGGACTTCGTCTGACCCGGGCAGCGCGCCGCCTTTGTGCCGCTCAGCTCGGGGCAGAACGACGAAGGAGAAAGATCTCGTACTCTTGAAACCTTCTCAATGGACAAGATGTCAGTTGTGCAGCGGTCTTTGATTTTTGAGACAGAAGAATACGGATTGGACCCACGAAGTCGTGTGAAAGAGCGTCACATCGGACATCTCATCGGCTTCCTCTCATGCCACATCTGCGTCCGCCAAGTCCGCCAGCGGGACCAGACTCCGGCGACACGTCGAGAACCGACACGCCGAGGCTCCGAGGCCATGGCGAAGGCCATGTTGCCTCTTGGAGCGAGGAGATTCGACCGGGGCGGAGGGTCTGATTTCGGTAGCGGAGGGTTTGCACCAACCGCAGCGCTGCGCTATACTACCTCGTAGCGATGCCCTTGGTCACTAGTAATGCCAGGAGCTAGCAGCAAGAAGTTTGCAAGAAGTCAAACCAGACCTCAGAATTCTGGGAAGGTGGGTTTTGGGGGACTTCTTTTTCCTGTGGTGGTTTTTGGGACCTACTGAGCAATGTGCAGCACATGGTTCTTTATGGTTCTTTTTCCGCCAAGAGATTTTGCTGCAGAAGCCCCGTTCGGAGCCCAAAATTGGGGCAATTCAATCCATTTATGAGAACATCTGAAAGATGGAGTCATTTGAGTATTTGGCATGTCTTCCAAGATGACTATTGACTATGGCGTATTTCATCCAAGTATAGTATAATATAGTATATCCATTTGTAGTAGAGAAAAAACAGACATTCTCTTCCAAGATCTTGGCTTCTACGCTTCTTCGACGGATTTTTGGATGACTTTGACGCGATGTGACTCAGCGGTCGGAGGTCGGATGCTCATTAAGGGTGAAACCGGTAGGTCGGTAGGTAGGTCGGTTCAACCTACTTCTGCGATGGCCTCCAGCGCCCACAACAGCCTCCAGAAGCCTCCATGTCAACAAAGTTGAAGGTTGATGAAGCATGATCGAGCCACAAGGTCACGAAGTGGCAGAACAGGCCCCCGGAACACAGGATTAGTCTACCCATACATGGACTTTGTCCGCATAAGTCCCTATGGATCCAGTCGTACCTTCACCGACCCGGTTCAGTACGACGACCTTGCTGGCACCTGCATAGCGTGTGTCGAAGACATCACCGTACCTGAGGAGAAGGTACGAAAACAGATCCCTAGGGTACGAAAACGTTGCAGCCAGATTGCCGCAGCCGGAGAACGACGACTTGAGAACCGACGCACCATGAGACGTTCGCGGCACCACGCACCGCGAACTCGCTCGCTCCGATCCTCCGGGCATCGAAGCATCGGACCACGGCTTTTCATAGTGACCTGCAGCCTCCTGTGGGGACCAAGCAAAGAACAGTATTAAAAACAAACATAAAACAAACTATAGAACTGTAATACGTAGGCCAGATTTGGTCACACCGTTCTGTGCAGGAAGGACCCATAAGGATCCAATCTTGCTTTGAGGCATCAGAAAGACAACTAGGAAACAAAAAGCACCGGGACATGACCGTTGAACAAGAATTTTCGAGTCATGACTTCTTCAGCTCTTTTTTGGAGAGGCGCCCCAGCACCGCGCTAGTCACGGCTTTCATATATGACCCGTCCATCTGACCCGTCGGAAAGGACCTGAAGCTCTGGGGGGAAGCGGCAGTAGTCGATCTGTCTTCAATCAACAACCGTGTTGGTCTTTGTGGCTACACTGATGGAGGGGAGAAAAGATGCGAGAAGCATCGCACCCTTCGAAACAAGGACAGATTATATTCAGTTGTCACATACATCCTGGTTTTGTTCTGATTTTGCTGTGAACGAACGATTTGGACACTCACAAGACTGAGCTGAAAAGCGCCCCCTACACAAGGCTGCGCTTTCACAAGACGGTGCGTGGGTCAGGGGTCTCAGCTGGACGGTGCGTGGGTCAGGGGGGTCTCCATTGGAAGTCAGGTTTTTGGATCGAAGAAATCACCCAAGCCTCCATGTTTCTTGGGATTTGAGTGGAACATGGTACTCCTGTTTTCAGTACATGTTCAACAATCCCTAGGGATCCAAGTACCTTCTCAGAAGGTACTTGGACCCTCAAAACCTATATAAGAGTGTCTCCAATCACCTTCTGAGAAGGTACTTGGATCCCTAGGGAATGGAAGCAATTCTCAAGAAGACAACCTTCACACCTCGCTGGATATGGATGCACAACTTCAGTCCCTTTGACCGGTTGGACCGGGTCACCGTGGGGTGGTCACCGGGGGTTTTGTGTGGTTAATTTTGGTGCAGCACGGGAGCTTTCTTCACCCTAGCCTTGTCCGGGTGAGGACCCCAAAACAAATCAGTGGACCTGGTTCTGTCAGCGCATCGTATACAGCTACATTCGGACTCAGGACGATGATATCAATCAACTTGGAGCTTCAATACCTTTCGAGGGTTCCAGGTCCCGTCTGACCCTTTAGAGACTCAAGTGTCCTTCAAGACCTCAAGGGGTCACCTCCGACGAGCCCTCTTGTTCAAAGGTTCAAGCCTCTTGGGTGGCTCATCCTAGAGACTTATACCTTGGCAGCCGATTGGTTGCAGGGATGTATCCTTTCAAGTCTCAACAATGCAAAGTTCCAATTTGCAACAAACAGCAAATATAGGGTTAAATGAAGGTGCAGGGCAGTGGGGAGTACTGGTATCTTCCAGCCACCTTGCTTAGGATCCAGCACCCGTCCGAATAGCGTTTCTGGCGCGAGCACCGGCCTCATCGACCAGATTCTCTTCGGCACAAGCAGTGCAACCCAGAGCAACAACAGAGCGCAACAAAAAGCAGTAACAGAAGGAATTCAAGTCAATGGAATATGTTTACTGTTGCTGTTACTGTTATATACTATTGATATGTTGTTCAGTAACAGTCAATGGAACACATTATCATGAACAATCATATTCAAGTCACTGGCATCGATCCCCATTGGCCGCCACACATTCTTCATCCGGATCAGTCAGAGGATGGTTCCAAGGGTTTGCCGCAGCGGCTTTCCACCAAGCTCAGGAAAAACAGACACGAACTTCGAAGGGTTCGCCCAAGATGACCAGCAACTGTTCCAAGAGATTTCGGTGCTTTTAGGTTGGAGGCCATCGCTAGGTGGTTCTTCCTGTTCCAAAAGATTCCTGTTTCTTCCTTTGAGCCGACGGCGTCCAACCAGCGTGCGTGTGGCTGGCACCGGCGTGGCCCCGGCGGGAGATGCGCTGCTTGGGGCTGTTTCTGGGCGTCGTCATCCTTTGCAGGCCAACGATGTATCGTCTCTGCAGACGTGTAATCACAAGACAAACTGGATATCAGATCCCAAATGGGTCAACACTTCTCACCCCATCCCTTGTTCATGACTGGTGGGTCAAAACATGTCAAAACTGAGCCTCCAGAGTCTGAACATTGTTCAACTTGATATGAGCGACATGACTGAAAGTGCTCAAGCGGGAGGAAGCTTGTTTCGGACTCAAAATACTCGAGCAAGCAGAGGTTTGTGTGGGAATGCCCACACCAGATGAATCACCAGCTCATAGAAGGTTCCGACTGTCTGGAGAATAGGCACCAAATTGAAGGCATCAAGTAGCTGTAGCTCAATCCTATGCCAAACTGATCCAAGGGATAATGACAGGAAAATAAGGTAAAGGAAAGGCAACAAACCAGGATATTCCAGGAAACTAGATTTAATCAGGTGTGGCATATTGTGGCATGCATTTTCTATCATTTTCTATATCGATAGTGATATTATGGGCACAAGAAAACGCAGGAGAAAACCCAGGTCTGATGATCTGCTAGAAAAGGAATGGACCATAAAAAAAGGGGGGAAGCACCGTTGAATAGAATGGGAGGAAAGCTTTGCTAAATGGCGCCATTGTTTTTCTCGGTATGGCTATTGCCCACCATCCTATTGAGCCGACTGACCCGTGGACATTGCAAATAACGAGAATATTATAACCACAGGTCAGTGAACATGCCTCCTTCTACTGTACGAGGGGTGTTCGATGCGCCTTCTGTAGCGAGATGATGCGTGATTTATACAAGACGTGTTACATAGGCTCCGTTGATACAAGTATATGTCTACTCGAACCTCATGAATCAAGTATGAAAGGGACACACACACATGGTATGGCTGTCCAAAGGTGTCGCGGCTTTTGGACTTCCGAAGTTCACGTTTCCATCTCACCACCCCAACCCTGGACGCGGGACCAGTCGCAGCTGGGTAGCAAGCTGGGTCTTGCACAATTCTAGCTAAACCCAGCTATAGTGAATATTGAAGATATTGCACAATACGCCAAACAGATCTTCAATCTCAGCTTTTTGGATCTTTTTGGTGTATTTACACGACCCAGGCAAGGTTGTGTGTCAAACACGACCCAGCAATATCTTCGTGTGTCAGCTGTAAATCTCCAGGCTACCCGACTTCCGTCCCGGCACGACGGTCGCAGGCTGGGCAGGACGTTCCTGTCTTCGACGCAGAGGTTCCACCGAACGAGGAGTTCGGTGGACTGGGAGGAAGATGGGGAAGATGGGGCCCTGGGAGGTTTTTCTGCTGATAAAGGTTGACATTTGCAGGGTCCTGGGGTGCTTTCCAGGAAGATCAAGGTCTGTAAAGGTTGTTTTCCTGATAAAGGTCTGCAAAAGTTGCCCGAAGCAAAGGTGGCATTCCCAGGGTCGGCAAGCTGATATAGAGCAGAAGAGGTTACCAAGCAAAGCTTCCGCTGTTCGGCGCGCAGCTGAAGCTCCCAAACAGATCCGACGTGTAATTGAAATTCAGCTACCAAGCTCTATAGGAGATCAATTTGGGATGCTAAGTTTGGAGATATCATTATGTCCTGACCCAAGGTTCACCTCGCATATGTTCTTATGAGGAATGCAAACTCTTGCATGAAGGATCTGCCGGGCTATCCATTGCAGACTCCTCACCGGTGTCTTCAGTGTCAGAAGAACAGATTCTGAAGATCAAAAGCTAGTGAATCATAACTTCTAACATCTTATAACTACCTCAAGAAACGCTGAGAGTCCAAAGTGCTCTTCAGAGAGTCCGACAGGGACTCTTGAATACAAAGACCCGGCTGGGTCCATTTTCAGCACCATCCATAGATTCATGTCATCATGCTTCTGCATGCACAAAAACCGCTCAATCAATGTGTCAATGTGGGGTCGCTTAAAAGTGCTGTGGTCACGTAAGTCATTGTAACATCATGCACCTCTCTGTGCTCAAAGAGCTTGGTGCCAAACCGGTCTGGCCGTCCACACCTTTTAACGTGGAAGGCGCATGAAGGTGTAGAGGAGCCCTGGAAACTACCAGGCTCGGCCAAACCGGAAAGACTGACAGGCCCAGGGAGGCCAGGAGCCGAGGGCGCAGATCAAACATTTGTGTGCGCTGATTAAAAGTAGGAGGACCCGGGTTGGACAGGGAAGCCTCCAAGAGAAGAAGCGGCCCCAAAAGGAAAGCGAGGAAAGATAGTAAAGAGGCCTAGAAAGGAACATTGAATCTACTTTACATATTGTTCGATGGTTCTCATCTTTGTGTGAATCTATATACTTTACATATTGTTCGATGGTTTTCGTCTTTGGTGTCAAGACAGGACATTCGGACATCCGTGACTCGCACCAGGATTCCACTTCGTGCAGAGGAGGATGGCATCCTGGATGGAACCTTTAAGGATCGAGTCGACGAAGGGTGGGATCGGATGGATGCCTCTGGGTGTGAGCTTTTGGATCTATCATGGATCATGGATCCATATCTACCTGGAGTCGACCCGGAACGAGGTTACCTCGGGTTCAATGGCTAGGGCGTCGTTGTACCCTGGGTCAGACGTCCCATGTTCGAAGCTACTGGCTCAGTCGGGTCCAGGTACTTGGGATGCACATCGTGCTTGGCACATTTCTTCAAAAGGCCCCCAAGCATCCGGAGCTGGAAGAGTTACTATCCCATGGATGGGTCCAGCTCATTTGGATGGCTTTGATCTCCTCTCGTTAGGGCTGCCACGACCTCACAGGACCCAACCGTTCACCAAAAGGGGCTGTTGTTTCCTTTGGCGTCCTCGCTACTAGGGAGGCCTTGGGCTACTAGAGATTCTATTTTTAGAGCTCTGATAATTGGATTTGGAGGCCATCGTGATAGAACGTTGTTGAAGGCTTTGGCTCGTCTGGAAAGGACAATTATATACTAAAATTCAACAGGAATGATAATTATGGAACACGCTTCTTCATGTAGGTGCTCTGTTCAATCTTGTAGCCCCCTTCCTCAGTGATCTTGAGATCGCAGCCGCAGTGTGACAAGTCCGGCGCCGGCGCCATCCAATCCTATGTTCCACTCCCTGAAGTTGAAGGCCGCCTTCAGCTTGGCTGTCATAGAGTAGCAAGTGGAGCTGTCTGGGGCGACCTCTCTAGTCAAAACAGGACCCCAAACGACCTTGCACCGTCAGGAGGTGGCCTCCACCCTCATCGGCGCATCGCCCCTGCAGCTTGGGAAGAAGACTTCGATGGTGGGAGCGTCCACCTGATGTGAGGGAGGCATGCTTTTGGAAGACCAAGGACGAGTGTGTAGGGGCTTCCAGCCAGGTGACCCATGGTAGAGTGGTGCTGGTAGAGTAATTTGTACCAGGTTACTCTTGGGACCTGGTAGGCCAAGCTGGAAAGATGTTCCACACAATTTGACGAAAACCAGCTGGTAGGCCAATCTGTGGAGACCATTTTGGATGAGTTGTTAATTAAACATGCAAAGTAGTGGTAGTGGCATAATTTGCTTCAGCAAGGTTTTTATTGAAGATATTGAAGTGGAAGACGGCTATAGGAGCCGCATTACTTGTTGCTGCTGGTATTGTTGCAGATCATTTGCTTTTGGTTTGCTGAACAGCTGCTGCTGCTGGTCTGCTGCTGGTGTGCTGCTGGTTTGCTGGAAGCATGCTTACGGGTCGCTTCGGGCAATAATTATGCATGTAGACATCGGTGGCAGTGTGTTTTGGCATTTGTACCTCGTGAACTGCTCCTTGCCTTTTACCTTATAACTATAGGGCCTGCATAACTACTGGTTTTACTGGCTTTCGTTCTTCCTTTCTTTGGTTCCCGCCAAGTGCCTCAGATGTTCCACAAGTTTCCAGGAGTGTTTGTTAACTCACCGAAGGGTGCCTGTGGAAATCATTGACTAGCTGGCCCGCAGTTGATGGGGCCACACTTAAGTAGTCTTTTGTTGATATCTCAATGTACGTATATCATGGTATGCATTCGTCTTATTTGACAAGCCTACTTCCAAATTGCCGCTCCTCGACTCCTCTTCCTTTCCCACCGAGGCCGGGTGTGGAGAAGGAGGCGCACGAGGCCTACCAGGAAGGCTTGAACGCCCAAACCTCGGGTGATCTCGCGACCGCCGTGCGCTCGTGACTCGGCGCGAGCGCCACGCGGCGCGGGTCTCCGCGGGTCGCCAGTGCTGCGGTTTGTGCAGTTCTCTTTGGGGAGAGGATGAGGGGGACTCTTTGATGGTGAGAGCGCTGGGAACGTATAACTGAGAATGGGACGTCTGATAAGTTTGGCCGAAGGGTGAATCAATATAGGAAGACATGCCAAGATCCTCGATGTTTTGAACATGACATTTGGTCACATCATATTACATGATATTACAGTAGCTGATAGTAGCTGCCAGACGCGTTCAGTCATGTAACTCTGCAGCGTTCCTGGACGTCCATGGAACGTCCGCCCCACGGGGACCACGGCGCCGACACACGGCGGAGCTGAGGTATGCGCAGGCCTTGCGACTGGAGTCCGATCCCTACGATCGCCGCTGGGAATTGGCGAGGTTTAGACGGTAGGAGTTGCTACTATTTAGTATAGCCTTCTTAGTTAATAGGTTAGTAGCTTCTTACTATAATAGGTCGTACACTGGCCACCCTACTAGCAATGGCCAACGTTCGTAGCTTCTTGTTACTGATTCAAACGGCTTCACCTTCCATGCCGCTTCACCGACCTGCAGAAGAAAACACCACCACGACGAGACGACCTTTCCGCGGTTTGACGACGCAAATCGCTTCAGAGCGAAAGAACCACCGCGGGACTGGAGAAATCGGGACGAAACCGCCGTTGAGCCCTTTGGTCTGGAGAAGAAAACAAAGCCCTTTGGTCTGGCCCTTTGTTTGGTCTCTGAGCCCTTTGGTCTGGCATTGGAACATGGTTTGGAAACCATTTGGGAAAACATATGTTTTCCTGGATCTTCCAACGACCAAAACAACCATAAAACCAAAACGACCTGAAATGTTTGGAAGTTGAAAGGTCCAGGTTCTTTGATTTTGCTGGGTTTACTTGGAGTTCGAGGGGTGAACATGGAGTTCCGCACATTCCAACCAACATCCTCAACCGACGGACCAGTGCGAAGTCCGACGGACAGACCTGAAGGGGCTCCACTGGAATCGGCCTAAATCAACGGACTGACGCGGACGCCCCTGACGGCAAAAGCCAAGCACCTAACCGGTTCGGTGCACAGGTTCTGACGACCGATGGAATCAGATCTCATAAACCGCAGAGCCTGTGAGGTAGCTACATCCTGTACAACCTAGGGCTTTGCTTCGCTGAGAATGGTGAATACACTAAAGCTGCGAAGTATTACATGATGGCAATCGTGCCTGGGCAGCATCGGATGGTGTCATCTCATTCAATGTTGATTCTCAAATGGTAAACCCTCCCCCCCGCCACCATAGCAGCTAGCAATAAATTGCAGGAGCGTGAATGGTGTGCAGTGTAAGCCCCACCAAAATGATTATATGTATTATCGTAGTAGTAAGTAGAAGTAGACGTACTAGTAGTATTAATAGTAGTAGTAGAAGTAGAAGTAGAAGTAGTTGAATAGGTAGTAGAAGTAGAAGTAGTTGAATAGGTAGTAGTAGTAGTAGTAGTAGTAGTAGTAGTAGTAGTAGTAGTAAGCAAGGCGGTTGAAGGGAAGCAATAGCTCTGAGCAATAGAGAACTAAGTGCATGTTACATATTGGAGTTCTTCTCAGGGCTCCACGTTTACATCCCATGGGCTTGTATACAACCCAATTGCCTTTTTGTTTGGAGCAAATGATTTCGATTAGTGTTAATAAGGGTCTTTGAACCAGGCTTTCAGGTCAGAGTTCCAGGAATCAAACAAAGCCTCAGAAGAGATTAGGGGTGAAAATTAAGATAGCTACTAGAAACAAGAAGCTACTAGTGCATCGCTACTAGGAGCAAGGACGCTACGAACGTAGCTCCTGGCCTTACTACTAGTAACAAGAAGCTATTCCCTCCCCGTTGACTCTTTGAGATTGGCGCGATTCCCACTTGTTTCAGCTTCGATGGACGCGTTGTTTGTTTTCCCCAGCGAAGGATTGCACTTGAGAAGGTCGCCAAACCCAAGCTGCGGTCAACATGTGTGATTGAGTGGGATTTGCATGGGCGGAACAAGGCAAACTCATCAAATATATATAGCTCATTGGCATGCAGCAGTCATGTTTAGACCGGTTTGACCTCAAGCCCACCAGAGAGGGGTTCTGGAATTACTATGTGGAGACACAATTATGGGGACAAGACATTTCTTTGGTCAGGTCAGCACAAAACAACCAGTACCAATAGTGGCAAAGAACATGCAAAGAGAAGTCGCAAAGCCTGCAAGCAGGGTCCTTTACTCTAGTCAAGTTGCTTTCCCAAAATCGTCGCAATGCCTCCGCCGCCTCCGCCGCGTCAGGATCAGAACTACGAGCTCTGCTCCGCCTGGAACAATCTGGGCGTCATTTTCCACGCCCCTTGGCCCGAAATGACGAAGGGCGGCGGGTTGGTTCCGCATGGGCTGCCCATGAGACCCGGGTTGGCAGTCCTGCCACTTCTTTCCCGCCGACGTGCGATGACTGAACCCAAGAGTCCGTTGGCCGAGCCCGGACCAGTCCGCGCATCCTCGGAACTGGCTCCATGCCACAAAATGGCTCCATGCCACTCCAGTCCAGAGATGGAGAAGTCACGTGCGCTTCGAGTGATCCACCGGATGGCCCAGTCGTCACACCGACTGTCGTCGTTCCGCCCGGATGGCCCAGATCCGGCGACCTCGCCAGGTGCAGGGCATGAAGGCGGAGCAGGACTATCGCTCCGAGCGCGCTGAGGCGCTCTTCGCCAAGGCGGCGCAGTGCCTCAGACGGACGACGCGGGGGGTTTGGGGAGGGAGGAGCAGGGCGGGAAGGGGTTGTTTGGGAAGGGGATGGGCCAGGCGCCAGGTGCATTGCCACATGTTGGAGATGTGGCGCGCCGGGGGGGGTGACATCCAAAGCAAGCTTGAAAGCTGTGGAGAGTTGGATACACTTCATCGAATCCTAATCAGATGTGTTCAAGTTACACCCTGGAAGACTAGCATGGACCCTCAAAACCCCGGTTGATATAGAGGATACATTGTCAGAGCCCATGTTACTTTTCAGGAGGGTAGGGTGTTCTGATGTCTCTTGGAGGAACTGCTCAAGATGGGCTCTCGCCTGCGAAGAGGCCTACAGCTTCCCCCACGCCTCAGTGTGTAGGGTTGGTGATTGATGTGGTGCTCAGTCCGTGCACTGACTTCTCAGTGTTTCAACCAGATGGGGACCAGGATGGACCAGGTCTCCAGAACACCCTGCAGTCGATGGCGCAGTCGATGGCCAGGCAACACCGAAGTTCCTCCCTCTTCACCCAACCAATCTAGAGGTAAGAGAACACCAAAAAGACTATAGGTACTTGAGCGACAACGAGTCCTATCAGCTCTCGTTTGCAATCCCGTTGGGCCGTGGCGGCTCAAAGCAGATCACAAACTACTCTGAAAATCAGAGGAACATGTTGGTGTGAATCTCATGGAAGGGCAGACTTTTGAGGAGCCCCTTGCAGAGCTTTTCGGAGAGGAGGCTATTAAGTTGGAGGCCATCGCTAGTAGGTTGGAGGCCATCGCTAGTCGGTTGGAGGCCATTGCTCTTAGGTTGGAGGCCATCGCTCTTAGGTTAAGCGAGAACTTGCCGTCTTATGAGGAGCCCCTTGCAGAGCTTTCGGAGGAGGAAAAGAGCTTCCTGGTTTGTGCGGCTGCAGTGGTGCTGCTGGCTCTTGGGGCCTGCCTCCGAGCTACCAGCCACCATTGGTCGCATGTGTCCACGTTTTGCAAGAAGAACTTTCTGAACTTAATCAACCGTCCCCAAAACGAAGAGTCGAGATGGGAGCGAAGGTCATTGTACATGCAGGTTTGTTTGCAGAAGGTCATTTTGGCAGAGATCTATTGGCGCTACAGCGCCTGTTGGCTGATCTTCTTGACACTGACCCGAGCTTCCAGAATCTTGACGAAAGATCCTGTCTGGATAAGCTCCTTCGCAGCTTGGGGTTGGGTTCTTCTGGCCTTCTTGATCATCGTTTGGACCCAAGTGCCATGCGCCACGCAAACGTGGTCTTTGGACTTTGTGTGCATCCTTTGGTATCTGGCGACAGGATTTTACCTGTCCTCATGGGTGATCCCGGTGGAACAGCTTTTGCTGATGGAGTTCGTGCTCTTCGTGTTGGTGGCCCTTCCTCTGTGCACTTTCGCCAAGCACTACAGTGTGGTCTTCCTGTGTCAGGGAGGACTCATGGCATTCGTGGTCGCCTGTGCTGTGCTGGAGGACCTCCCAAGAAAGCGGTTCCCTGGAGAAATACGGACTTTTGCAAAATAACACCTACTTGGAAGGGATCTATGCAGAGAGTTAGTAGTTTCGTTTTGTTGTGTTTTGTTTGCTTGTCTAAATTCCAGATCACTCAACAGACTTCAAGGATTTCAAGCCAACATTCAGTGGTGGTATTAAACATCGTCTTCCTTGGGGTCACTTTGCTGGTTCATTTCCTCTCGAACTCCTTCCTGGAGCAGACCGTTGAACTCCGCGTCCGAGAGGCAGACAGCCAAACCCAAAGGAATGCGACCTCCTCCTTGCTGGAGCTTACTTGCGATCCTAGAAGAATCCATGACCAGCAGTCACAAAGGGGCGCTATCCATGGAGGTCAGGGGTGCCCAGCTACTCCACTCACTTAAGGACGTTTCACACCACCCCTTTGTGACTCCTGGGAGAGATTTCTTTGCTTTTTCTTTATGTGTTGGGGGTCGGTCTGGCAATCATACAGGCCCTTTTCAGGAATCGAGTGAAGGTTGGAATGGGATTTTGCAGCCTTTGCCTTTCTGGATATACATACACTATGACGAACACATCACATGGAAGTGGATGGCATGGCCCCTTGGAAGACTACTTTCCTTTACAAACAGACGGTTTTCCACTTCCATGTGATGTGTTCGTCGGAGTGTATATAAGCTCATTCAAGGGCAAAAACGTCCAAGAAATCCCGGTCCCGGTCGCTCTTCAGCTGAAAACATCTTCACCCAAATAGCAGCAGCAACTCAAAGGATGCGGTGGTGCATTTGGATTCGGAGCTCCGAGTCACGTCCGATGCCCGCGATGCCTTGGCCGCGATGCTCTTCCGCAGCCCTGAGACCTTGAGAGGCGCACGGACTTTTGTTCCCTTAGGGATCCAAGTACCTTCTCAGGTACGGTGATTGGAGACACTCTTATGTGGGTTTTGAGGGTCCAGTCATACTTTCTGAGGTTCGGTACTTGGATTTCTAGGGGTCGTCGTGTTCTTGGCGTGGGACCGAGGTTTCGGCTCCGTTGGCTGCTTTGGCGTGCCAATCCGTGTGATCTTAAACTCATTTGACCTTTAAACGACCATCATTTATGCACTATGTATAGGTCTGGCAGATCAGTAAGGTCACCATGGACAAGACATGACCAGCCATACACGGCTCTTGAAGTTATATATATTTTGTTCATTGGAGAGAGCCTGTCCCAAAAGTCAAAGTTAAAAAAACAAGTCAAATCATAAAGTTTCAGAAAGTCAGAAAAGTCCATTTGCCCAGATCTGATTTTTTTACTTTTGTGTTTGACTTTTTTTACGACTTATTGACTTTGTTTTGACTTTTTCGAGTGGTTGACAGTTTCTACCTTGTATTTGACATTTTTGTTTTGACGTGTTCGAGTTGTTTTATAATGATGTTGATGTTTTTTGATTTGTTGTTTCGACTCTTTTTTGATTTCTTTTGGATGTGTGTGTTTTTTCCCGACATGTTTTCGATATTCTTTGACGTTTTCAAGCACTTGTCGATTTTTTTCACTTTCAATTTGACCTTTTTGGACTTTGACTTTTTCATTTACATGTTGTTTTAAATCAAGGATTCTGGCCTTACCATATGAAAGATTTATATAATCTTGAAGGACATCTTCAGCTATTGCCAGCTGTCTTTAGTCAAACAGACTATACACGTTTCTTGCCTGGTTTAGAGCTCAGATTTGGATAAAAAGTTGTCCTTTTTAATGGATAGTTGGATAGCCTAGTCCGCGACTATATGCGGCACCGGATGCGTAAGTATGCAATTGTTGGGAAGTCAACCCCTAGCCTTTGACCCCAGCACTACCAAGTTCAGCACGTTGAGAGGAACCAAGTTCACAGAGCTCATTGCCACGGACTGCCAATCTCGCGCGGAAGAGATGTTGAAGGAAGCTCAGGCTCCAGCCCATGCCTTTCACACGCAGCTGGTGGATGGCTGTTCCAGTCGCTTCAGAACAGAGGCACAGAACGCCGGACATGTTCGGAGCAGGTTTTGAAACTAATTATCAAGGTCACAGTGTTTAAGGCTGCAAGCAAAAGCAGTGTGCGGACAAAAACATGTGTGACAATGAAAGACTGAAGCACTATTAAAAAAAGAACAAATATATATATATATATATATATTATAGTAATATTTGTGTATTACATGAATTCTGCTAAACTGTGATCAACCGGGTTTCATGAGGTGCCCACTGGTTCAAATGATTTTGGACACGACCACATGTTTCAGAGATGACAAGTTGTGTTTACCGTGCTTCATGGGCGTTGACCATGTTTCTTCTTGAGGTTTTTGAAGAACAAATACCTACACTTCCGCACTGCTACCCTTGACATGGCTTTGTCAAAGAGTCCGTTCTTCCGACCTGTCTTTCTTGTTTTCTTTGACCAGTCGATGGAGGTCTTTCAAGTGAAGTACACCAAGATGAACGGACAGCGATGTCACCTCCTAGGGCTGCGGGACTTTACCGACGTGAAACCCTTGTCTCGCCCGTCGCCTGATGCCCTCGCTGCCGATGCCCTCTCAGTGGATCCAGACGTTCACAGTGTCCCGATGATTCAGTTGGGTTGTTCCCGGTAGCGAACACCACTGAGAATCACATCGAAACATACGAGAGGCCAATATCAAGTGAGAAGGCCGGTTTCGGCCTGGAGGTGAAGGTTGGAGCGTCTCCCATTTCTTATTTGCATCAAAAAAGGGCCCATGACACATGGACATACAACGTGCCAACCACACAGACACCGTGCCAACCTGGATTTGAGGGGGTTCTCTTCCTCTTCGTGAACCGAAGCATGGTCAGTCCCCGTGGATCACGTTCGTTCGCTCCGCAGGGGTGCTCCGCATGGGGGTTTCAGAGCGGGTCAGGTCGCTCCGCGACGACCAGTGGCTATCTCTGAGAGGGTCAAAGAAGTCTCAGTGTGTTCATGGGCAATTTTTTGGACCCTCTGAGAAATGGTTTAGTTATGTCTTAGTGTTCGATTAGTGGCTAAGCAGGTAGGCCATCTTTAGTCCATTTGTTCAAGAATATCCAGATTAGATCGGAGTCTTTGTTTGTCCGAACATATTGGGGTTGGATCCAGAATAATAGTCGTGATCTAGAATTGAAAAACTCAGGTCCCAAAGTGCAAAAAAAGACTGAGGACAAACATAATAACTGCAGATTCTTTTGCCCTATGGATCCACATACCTTCTCAGAAGGCAACTGGACCTTCCAAGCATACATAAGTAGTATCCAATCACCTTCTCAGAAGGTACATAGGGTTGCATACTCACAGAAGCTCTCAGGACGGAAAAGAGAACCACTGAAAGCAAAATGACAGCAGAATGAAAGCAAATAAAGCAGAATGAGCAAAGTGAGAAAGACATGAACTCTAGAGGAAACTACCAATATGATCCCGCGGAAAAGCTTCCAAAACAAAAATCCCGGATCCGTTGGCTCCTGTTGGATCTATTTTTCGACTGCACAAAAATCTTTGTACAGTTCAACCTGGTTTGAAAAATAGAGTGGTTATGCACCCCTACAAGTACTTGATCGAGACAACACTTAGAGATGAACGCAACGTGAAGTGGATGAACCCTCTTGCTTGCAATTTGCAAGCACGGTTGCATCATGTTGAATCTATTTTTCGACCCCCTTGAAATGGTGTGTTTTTCTGGGTGTCCAAATTATACTGATTTGCATGAATTTTGTACAACAAATATACAACGTGCTGAACCGAGACAACACTCAGAGATGAACTCAACATCAAGCGGATGAACAAGATAAAAGGCATCATCACTCTATTTGTGGACCCTCTGGCAGGTTGTTTCTTTATGTCGTAGTTGCAAATAGCAAGCATTGTTGGATCTATTGTTCGATCCCCTTGAAATTGTACGTTTTCACGGGGGTCGAAAAAAAAAAAAAAAAAAACAGAATGGCTATGTACAAGAAACTATATTAAATAGTGCTCGATCAAGACAACACTTAGAGATCAACGCAGCATGAAATGGATGAACAAGAAAAACCACATACTTTGGACCCTCTCATAAATTGTTTAGAGATATGTTTTGCTTGCAATTTCCAAGCATTGTTGGATCAATTTTTCGACCCCCCCTGAAATTGTACCTTTTCCAGGGTGTCCTAAATATACTAATTTGCATGCATGTTTTGCAACCAGCTGACGCATATGTCGCGTATGATGCAATCATGAAAAAAGATAAAGTATATAAACTGTTGAAAGGGGTCGTTTGTTTTCAGACTTACATGATATTTCATAACTATATGTGTTTATTCCAGGCTTTCCGCTCCTCTCCCAAACACAGCTCATGATGCAGAATATGCATGTCCGTCTCCAAACGAAAACTCCCCTCGGCAAGACTATATAGCGATGAACGCACAACTGTAATGCCTCTAGTTGTTGGACAGGCTAGTAGCGGCTAGAATGGTCGTTACCACCTCTTCGCAATAGAAACAAACGTGCTTTAATTGGTTGATTGACTGTAGTCTTTTTTGGTTCCGCACTGTTTGATCATTTTGTCGCACAAGCCAAGCGAAAAGGTTATGAAATGGGCAGCTTGGATTTGGCGTCTCGAAGCGACGAAAGTTCAGTGCAGATGCCGCAGCAACTTCTTCGTCCCCCGCCCAGGAGGCTGACAAGGGTCATGTTGGAAACAGGAGGGGGGTGTAGCCGAGTACATCCCAATGGAGTCATCGAACACTATGTGAACATTCAAGCAAAGTTTGCGTTCTTGGATATCAACGTGGATCGGAGGGTGATCACTGCAGCCTCTGCTCCATGCTCTGACCTGGTGGGCCAAAAGCTGGAGGATGTTTTTCCCAATGAATTCACCTGGCAGATCGTCCACAATGTGTGCGAGGAAGCCAGAAGTTTCATGCTCACATCACCTGGCGATCAAGTGTTGCCCGATCAGGTGGCGGCATTCAATGACATGCCCATGACGCATTCAAGTGGGCGCATCGTTGGGATTTCAGGATTGATGCGCGTCTTGCTCACTGAGGCTGGTCAATTTCATGTGATATTGAGTTTTGTCTCGCCGAAGGCGAACTTAGTGGCGCTCTGAAGTGAGTTATCGCCCTTATCGCTTTTGATTTCAAGGTCAAGTGCTGGAATCCAAGATTGTGTCAAAAGGCTGAGCGAGGAGCTGTGCAAGTTGATTGGAGCAGCACTTGTGCGATGAGCGACTGCACAACTCTATGGTAGATCATGTTCATCCTAGATTATTGTTTTCATTTGATCCTCATTCATTCTCGTCACCATCATGTGTCATCACCATAGTTCATCCTTATCTCATGATCATGTGTTTCAGGCGCTTGTCAATCGTCGCATGGATTGGTCGATCTAGGTCCGCTCTCTGTCTCAGAGTGAATCCATCTCGTCGTTTGCCGTCGAGGTGAATCCATTGACGCGTCGAGGCGCTTCGAATCCTGAGAAGCACGAAACGCCATACACTCCCTGGAACGTCACATGGTTACGTGGATGGCCTGGCCCCGAGTTCGGAAGACCATGAAATCCACTTCCCATCAGGTGGTGCCATGCACTTCCACCATGGGGCCGTTCCAGGGAGAGTACTTGGACCCGACTGACCCAGTAGCTTTGAAAATGGGACGTCTGAGCCCCTAAAGAAAACAGGTACGACTGTACCCATTGAACCCGAGGTACGAGTTCCGGGGTCGCCTCGTTCGGTCCTATTGATCGTCCACACATGCTCCTTCGAACCCGAAGTAGGTTCGACCAAGGTGAAGGAACGGGGTGATGGGTTGCAACCGGAGGAACGAGCTGGTCGGGTTTAAGGTCCAGAGTTTTTGGACGTGGGGGACATGTTCCACTTCCCAACCCATGGATGGAGCTTCGATCGGGCCCCGAAGGCTTCGTGGTGTGTTGGCTTCGTCGAACGGTTTTGGGCAAACATTCCCAATGGATCCACAGTACTAAGGAACCAGGGGCCCTTCGTTCGGTCGGACTGGTTTTAGTTGAAAGGAACCACTGGGACTCCCAGCGAGCTCTCGTGGGTTACCTGGATGAGCTGGGAAAGCTAATATTATGTACCACCTGTCTCTTAATTTCATATACTGCTTCCTCTACCACTTGTCGCTTAGTAAATTCAGGTCTGCTTGTATTGAAGACCGAACTGAACTATTTGCATGTCTATATATAGTTCATAGTATAGCCGTGCGTTGGTAAAGGATTATCACCATTTTTTGGGAAACGCCTTTCTCCCCAAGCATTACCAATGGGATATACCCAAAGCATGTCACAAAAAAATACAAAGCGCCTGCTGCTCTCCCTTCCCTAAGGTATTGGAACCGGGCGGCCAGCTGCTCTCCTGGCACCTACATGGATGCCGAGCAATGGCTTCTGCGGACGGGCCGCGCACAGGGCGATTGGAAGCTCGGACTGGACGACAGATTGTCGTATCGAAGAGCCAAGCCGCACGATGGACGACGGATCCAGAACCCAGTCTTCTTTGACCTTAATATACCTAGATCTTCAAATGAGCAAATGAAGACCTAGGTATCTACAGATCGGCTGGAAGATCTTTTAGCCCAGATGCTCCATGTGCTTCACAACACCGTGTTCCACTTCTGGCGAGGTTGACCGGAAGGTTCACCGTCATGGCACGATGGCCCGACACCGCGGTGACCGACCCTCGACCATCGAACGGGTTTTGGGCACGGTCCGGTGACCGAGAGGTGCCGAAAGGTTCTCCGCAACAGAGCGAAGACCTCACTCCGAAACTGACATCCATGTATTTCAAAGTGGAGTAAACATATCCCTACACCTCCAAGTACTCTCCTTCTCAGAAGGTATTTGGACCTGCCAAACCCACCCCAGTCCCACCTTCTCAGAAAGTACGACTGGAGGCCTAGGGATATGTGAACACCAGCTGTTTTCCCTATGAACATGGTGATCTGATCCCAGGGATCATGCCATACAGATTCCATTATTATTTCAGAAAGTGGAACCCCGCGACAAACTCTGGGTGGGCATGGTTATGTGAGCAAAGTGCTAAAGGTCGGCACTCACGGTTCGTCAAAAATGAGCAATTTGCATTTTCCTTGAAAAAACGATACCAATGCCAAAAACGATACCTAGGCTTAAATTGTGACTTATCCTAGCTGCCTCCAGAGTCTTACTTTTGGTAGATAGTTCAACCAAAGGCTGCATGGGTTCACTTGTTCCAGCTGCCACGAGAGTCCATTGTTCGGCAGAAAGTTCAACCAGAGTCTGTAGAGAGTGGCATGGCTTATTGGAATCTATTTGCAGCCGTTTGTGCTTGAAAGGCACTGTGTTGTTACTGCTGTGGGGAATGTGGAGGGTAGAAAAAACGCATTCGCTATGGAGCCAAGAATTATGGCAGTGCAAATTTTCAAGTGGATGATATTCTGGATGGCTTAAAGATGCTGTATAGAAAAGAACATGAAAAGAAGGACCTCGCAAAAAAAAAAAAAACTTTAGCTCAGACCACCTGTGAGAACGAGTCGGAGATGCGGTGTCGGTCTTCCTCCTTTCGTGTCGGCACGTCCAAGTGAGAGAAATCGACGTCTTGAAGAGCCAAGAAGTGTTTAGACCTGAAGTGTTTAGACCCACCAATGAAAGAAAGGGTTCCCTGCTCCAAATCCCTGGTAATCCCGCTTTCTTTCGGGTTCTTCAGAGGGAATTCGAGTGCGTCCAGCGGACTGAAGAGACCGTTTGGTCGGCGTGCGTTCGAAGAAGCGCGCGGCGGTCGTGGTTCGCAGGCCGGGCGATCGAAAAGGGATGTTCAGGCATCATGGATGGAGCTTCGATCGGGCCCCGAAGGCTTCGTGGTGTGTTGGCTTCGTCGAACGGTTTTGGGCAAACATTCCCAATGGATCCCAGTGGATCCACAGTACTAAGGAACCAGGGGCCCTTCGTTCGGTCGGACTGGTTTTAGTTGAAAGGAACCACGACGGGACTCCCAGCGACATCGTGGGTTGCCTGGATGGGATTGGTCAACTCACCGAGCAAGCAGGAATGTTCCCTGGTGGTTCCACAGCCCGCGCTCGGGTCAGGGCCGCCACAGCGACGCCCCGTGCCCAGGCAAAACGACATGTTTTCCGCCGCTGGTTTTCGATGACCACCTCAACGTCTACCTCCGCTGGGTTTCGGGACGTCTGAGGGCCCTGCAGATGAACATGACGTAACACAGACTTTATCTTTGTAGTGTGGCGTATGACTGGAATTCTGTTTACATCTATTTCAAATACTTGGTGAAATAGCGATGTGCTTAGCAAAGAGGCTATACTTCTTTGCTTCCTGTTTGCTTCTAATGAGCTATTGAACCTTAGTACCAAAACAGCTCATGGCTGGGCAGTGCCGTTGCTGCCGAAACGCGGACCATTGACACCGCCCAAGATCCGCCGCAAAAAGGACCGCGTGTCGCGTGGCCGAGTGGTTGCAGTGGCTGCAGTGCAGGATGTTTGGGGTCGGGTGGACATCGTCACGCATGCAAAAGCATCGGATCCATGGGAGTGGAACAGGCGACTAGGTATTACCTGGACTGACCCAGTACCCAGTACCTTGGAAAATCTGAACATGGGCACATGGCCCCATAAAGAAAACACGACAAGTCCCCCGTCCGAGCTACGAGGTCCGGGTCGACTCCACCGGTCTTTGCCACCCGAAAGCCAGCAGCTGCTGCGGTCTGATGGAGGTGGTTTCCGACGTTGAACCAGGTGTTGGCCAATATGTGGAAAAGCAGGTTCTCATCCAAGAACCGACCAAATGTCAGGTTCGCTCGGGTTCGCTAGGTATTTACAAGACTCTGTGTACCAATGGCACACTTTTTGAGATCTTTTTAAAGGTTGGTTGGGGGGGCTGCCTGCCTAATTACTGCTCATGTTGCAAGATATATTGGACACTCCTGGAATCAATTCCTACATCTAAGATCAAATGGATCGTAGGACCCATTTCGGTGGATCCCCTTCTTCCTTCCAAATCCTTTATGCAGCGCCGGTCACGCAGCCAGTGGCGAAGAGCTTCTCCATCCCCAGCGGTGAAGCTCTTCGTTCGGTTTCGAGGCGCGTGAACGACACGGCGGTGATCGTCCGGCGGCAAGCGACGAAGATCTTGAGCGCCTTTGTGCCGTGGCGAAGAGAAGATATGGAGGGAGGATGGAGAATGGCAAGCTCCATCATGGCAGCCTCTGTGCCGTTTCAGTGCGGAGTTAGGGAGATTTCAGATGGGTTTGGAGGCCATCGCTGCTAGGTTGGAGGCCATCGCTAGGGAGATTTCAGATGGGTTTGGAGGGTTTGGAGTTGTGACCCAGCGAACGACCTTCGTGCCAATGTGTTGGATGCGTCGGGGCTTTTTGACACGAGCAGCATTGGATTCCTTGGCATTTTCAGAATTGGGACGTTCAATCACGTTGTGGGAGTCCATAGCTTGACCCTCTCAAAAGGTTGATAGTCCATGTTTGCAGTGTATACTAGTCAGATCTAGTCAGTGTAGTTAATTCCCTCCTTTTGAAGGTACAACAGCGGTTCAAGTGCCTTTTAGGATGATTCATCTTGACTTCGCAATACCTTTTTGGTCCGGAAAACACCTACAGCAGCAGACTACCGTACAGAGAACCGGTCCCACATCCACCCGAAGCGCGGTGTGGACGTGGACGTGTTTTGTGGTCACGGTGATCATGCTCTTCCGTTCTGTCATGACTTGACGCTCTGTTCCGGTTCTGCACACCGGCGCACACCGCGGCGTACACCGCCGGCGCGCTCTGTGAGGTGCTCAATCATCCAGACCATCCGGATGTAATACCCGTGACGTTGGATTTGCTTCGTCGTTCCACCGACTCCGACGCGCTGTGCCTTGGCAGCTCTAGGCAGTTATTTTTTCATGAGAAGCCGTGATCTTGTTTGGGGTCAGAATGGATGAAGACACCAGAAGTTTTTGAATGAGAAAGCCACAGCGAAGTGTCTCGTAGTCAGCCCATGTACAATGCAGACTTTGAAGTTGTCGTGACTAGACCATGATTCGACTCACTCCACCCACAACATGAGAGCGTGCCCTCTATTTTCACAGGCTCATGCCATACATCCGTTGATCACTGATCGGACACCTGTTGGGCCAACCACCACGAACCACCTGGTCCAGCGCACTAACCACCGGTGGCTTGACCGGTCGCGCCCGGTCCGCGAGGCGAAACTTGGTGATGGGCACCTTTGAGCTCTTGTGGTTCATGGACGACGAGCCGACTCCGGAGGTGCGACGCCGGGAGGACGCCGAGGTGTCCGCCGAAAACGGCCGGAGCGGAGCGGAGCGGAGCCCATCGGCGTCTCCAGGAAGGAGGCTGAAAGCGTGGGAAGGTCCAAATTCGGGCCGGGAAGTGAAAACATTTGCAGCGATGGCCTCCAACCTATAGGAGCAATGGCCTCCAACCTAGTAGTTTTTGTGGCACAGTACTGGATCAAGATGCACATAGATCGACGCACAGCACTGTGTGGACCACCGTGTGGCGGCGGCTTTCGTCGCTCCGCGTCGCACCGCACGAATCGCTTGGATGCATGGGAAGTCAGGTGGGGGGGTCTTCTTCCAGCCTACCAGGCCCAGACACTCCATGTATGCCGCCCCATTGACCCCCCAAAACCACCCCAATGGTAACTATACCATCCATATCCATACATGGAGTGTTGGGGAGGGCAACCGCTGAAGTGCCCACTGTTTTCTTGATCTGGAAAGCGACAGCAAGCGCTGCACTGATGGTGTGCAGCCGGACCGGGAGTGACGCAACTGGCGGACAACGACCAAGGAAAGAAAGGAAGAACGACCGGACAAACAAAGGACCGGAGATATCTGGAGATCCTCTTTTGCATTGATACTCCCCACAAACTAACATAGAACCTGAGAATTGACCCGTGGAAGACTTGGGTTCCTCTATACAACCCAGTAGTTTGGGGGTTCCATGTGGGCCGAATAGCAGGGGAGTACCCTGCCGAAGTGTTTAGTGACATCTCCTCTGTAGAAATTCTTCTTCGGCACCCCCTTCACTGGGCGGGTCATTTGGAGACCTGTCGGAAAGTTGGCAGGCGGCCAAGCAACTCTCACGTGTGGTGGATGCCTCCAGGGCCATGGTCCGAGCCCCAGCGACAATGGAGGAGAAGGTGAGCCGGGTCGCTGCCAGGCGGCCCACAAACCATCAAACACCTGGTTTTCCGTAGCAAGCTTTTCATGGTTTTGGTAGGTGAAAACCTTTGGTTTTTCATGGTTTGGTTCGGGCCCCTGGTAGTCTGTGCACGTTTGCACATTCAAACCCTTGATCCATGACCCGCACAGTTGCGGCACTGACTGTGGGCCAGTGGACTGAAGACGGAGGGAGGTTCAGGAACTGGGATCAAACTGTTTTTTTGGGTTTAGGGGAATCACTCACAGGAGGTGCTTGCCATACTTGGCTTCAAATGATTCAAATATATTCAAACGACTCTTTACTAACTTTACTAACTATTACATCTAACTACACCTTTCTTGAGGTGCGCAAGTCCATGTCCAAAGCCATGCGTCAGAATGAATTCCCCCGCCTGGGTGCGCGTGCGATTGGGAGTCCTCCTTTTGCCACAACCTTTTCCTGCGATCATTTGATATCATTTGTGGGAAGTTTTTTCGCACTTCCCAAGTTGATTGCTAAATATACCTATAAGTCTGAAGAAGACAATTTGCAGATGAGCGTGACCCCTGTCAAGTACTTGCTTGCGGTCAGTGCTAAAATTAGTACGACTAACTCTTAGAGTTATAGGATCTTAATCCGCCGTTCGCTGTTTAACTTCCTTTCACCGCCATACTTCACGGCGTTCTTCTATAGTAGCGATGCCTTTGTTCCGTTCGTAGCGAACCTTGCTCCGTTCGCAGGCCAGGCCAGGAGCGCCGTTCGTACGCTCTGCCGGTTCGCCGCTCCCGCAGTCCACGTTGGGCGATATCCTCAACGAGCTCCTGCGGCGCTTTCGGAAGACCATCGGCCGCTGGGCATCGCACCGCGTGGGGAACCGTGGCGGAGGATGAACCGTGGAGATGAGGACATGTTGGAGGACGTTGGTTGGTTGGTGTAGACATGTTTGAGTTTTGAACCCCAAACACTCTATGAGACTGCCATATTTGCCGATCAGTTGGGGTGGTTTGGGGTCAATGTAAGCATAAATTCCATACATGGAGTGTACGGGAGCCATAGGCAAATGCTTGGTAGATGGATGTATACATCATCTATACATGCAATCTCTCAGACGACATGCAACAAGTAAGGGGGATGGATATCTATATACCTTATAAGCTTATATTGTGAACGTTCATCGATTCCCTTCTTCACAAAAGAACTTCAAAATGCAGGGTTTGGACTCTTAACGCCTTCAGGAATCTGACGTTCTGTGACCCATGGCAATGTGCCATCAGCACTGGAGCCCTGGCAGGAGGCAACATATCATTCACCCGGAGCCTTACTGTACCTAGGAATTTGAACCTTGATGCCACGTCAATGGGGAACTTTGAGTGTTGAACCCTCGCAAAAAAACCGCGGGATTTGTGGGCCGAGAGATTAAGACCTCGTTTTCCAGTTGAACCCTGAGAGTCCAAGACCATGTTTAAAACGGTCTGAATTGGTGATCCGAGTTCAGGAACTTCCTTTACTTGGGTGGTGCCTAAAAAAGTCGAACTGGACTTCTAGGGGAAGCTTCATCCGAAGGGCCAAGGACTTCGTGGGATCTCGCCCCTCAGCACCATCAGCCACCACCCGGTCCGCCACCCACGAGCACGAACGGAGCGACCCGCGTCAGGGAACACAGGCGCAACGTCGCGAGGCTCGCGGAAGAACTCCAAAGGCTACGAGTTCGCTATCCGCCGCTGGACCACCTTGATTCTCAACGAGTTTGTGCAGCTCAGGCGCTTTGCGCACAAGTTTGGTGCGCGAGAGACTGGGGGAGAGGGAGGGAGAGAGAGTTTGTGCCCCAGCCAGGCGCCGTGGGACACCTGGGACGTGGGGGAGACCTACTCTTTGGTGGGTCCTTTCAGCACGGGATTTGTTCCAATTATACTCCCGAAAGCTAACATGGAAGTGGAGAATAGCCCCTTGGAAGACCATTCTCCACTACAAACAGGTGGTGCCATCCACTTCCATGTTAGTTCCGGGGAGAGTAATGATTATACAATGGATTTGCAGTTTTGGGGAATCTTGATTTATGTCAGACTGCTTCACCATGCTTCACCATGCTTCATCATCATGAGCTGCTGACAAGCTTTATGCAAACGAAGGTTTCTTGGATCCTCAAAAGCTTTTGGATGAAGACCTAAGCATGCCTAAGCTTTTCATGCTTTCACTTGTTTGAACTTTACAGCTCTCAGTCAAGCTTCAGTCTTTTTTTGCGAGGCATCCAAAAGGTTGAAACCCTGTTCTCCTTTCCGGCAGACCTGGCTGAGCCAGGTCTGGCAAGCCTGCACCGGTGAAGAAGGTGAAGTTGAAGGCAGCTAGCCTGACGGCCGGAGAGGTACAAGAAGTCGGGTTGATGATGGTTGATGTTATTATGGCAATTGAGGAGCAGATGAGCAGGTGAACTAGAGAAACTCATGTCGAAGAGCGAAAACACACTGAGTTCAGTTCAGGCAGCTTCCGACTCCTGAAAGGTCCTTCGGTTCTGACTCCTGCTTGTTTTGTTTGTCTCATCCCAAAGACTTCCTAGGTCAAAAGGCCATGGCACGGAGTTGGAAGATTGTTTATGAGCCTGCCTTTTGTGGCCCACAATCGATGTTACAAACCCAGCTGAGGTGCTTAGACAACAACTCCTTCACCTCAAGAACTTGCAAGGGCTACTCGAGCCAGATTGTTCTCGATCAAACCCACCACCTTGCATGAGTTGAAATCCCAAATCAAACCCACTGGCTGCAGGATGCACCAAGGATCACCAAGGCAAAAAGCTTTGTTAGACACATTGGCTGTGGCTCCAACCCGGGTTGATTTACTTTCCTTGTGACCGATATGTCAGCTTGAGGAACAAGTTGGTCCATTGTAGGAGCATTCCTTCCCCCAAACAACTCATTATTCAACACACAGAAGCAAATCAAGATGAATCGAGCATGTTTATAACCCAATCCACCAAGCTGTGCCTTGTCAACACCCACTCACATTTTCCATGTTTGGTTTCCACACTCTTGGACCCTGTAAAACGAGCATTGGGCTTGGGCTAAGCATAGCAGATCGCGTCACCATCTTGACCATCTAAAGGAGCGGCTGGGCTGGCGTGGACCATCTTGAGCGTGAAAAACCATCCCAAAACACGTTGCGCCCCACTCTCCGCCCCACGGGCTTGTTCGTGCGCCAGTCCGACTCGTTCGCCTTGCGCCGCAGGGCGGTGGGATGAAGCAAGAGCCAGCGCCGGCAGAAAGTCCGGAGGAGACCAACGGGGCGAAGCCGAACAGACGAGCGAGTTCCCCCAAAGACTGGACGCCAGGCTCGGTGATGAAGGGTGACGGCAGGCTCGGTTTGCTCGGTGATAGAGGACGTTTGCAGGGTGGTTTGGTGGAGAAAGCATGGAACGAGGAGGCCAATATCAAATATCATACCCACAACATGCGGCTTGGCTCCGTGGCGCGTGGTGGTTTCTCGGGGCCTTCCGATCCCTTTTGTTGGGGCATGTCCCGGACAGGATCCGTCGCAAGACGAAGGGAAGCTGGATCCTTCATCTATCCTCTTTACCCTCAAGCACACTAACATACCCTAGGCTAGGGATCCAAGTGCCGAACCTCAGAAGGCACTTGGACCCTGAAAACCTACATAAGAGTGTCGAACACATCACCTCCTGACAAGGTACGACTGGAGAGGACGTACTAGTTCTCAAAATGTGGGAATTCTCCACGTCTTAGCTTATGTGTTGTTGGTCACTAGCTTAGGGAGGTATTCTAGATCCTTTGGATTTTAGCAGTTCCTTTTAGCAGTTCCTTTGGGTTATCCAAAAAGTTACCAGAATCCCATGCACAATAAATACTATAATATAATATTTTCTTTGACATTGGATTCCGCCAGTATACAGTCCTTATTTTCCCACCCACCCTCTTGCCACATCTCCTCGATTTGCTTCTTGATGACGTCTTCCAGCGTACAACCGCGCATCGTCCATGCGTGAGTCCGAGTCCGATCCACTGGACGAAGCTTACCGTGGTGCCAGGATCGCTCTCACCCACCGCCGACCAAACGTGTGACCGAAGTGGTACCTCCTGGTACCTGCGACCTTTCTCACATGACGTACCTAATATTAGTAAGTTCCTGAACTTGTGTGAACCCAAGAATCAGAAGTTTCAGTGGTTGTTTCCTCGGTGCCAAAGTTTGATGAGGTTCATAGCACCTTTTTGGACTTGCAGCTGTCACTTTCTGGGTTGCGAAGGTTGAATCAACCAAGTCAGGGATGCAGTAAGTCACCTCATGTCACCACCTATCTCCACAGCTCTCACAGCTCTCCATCTTTGGCTTCATCCCCAGCCGTAGCCGGTCGGAGAGCCTCCCGTTGCCGTTGTCCAGGAGCAGTGGCACATGCGTCGTAGCCTGCTGAGCACCCTGGAAGCCTTCGCCACAGCGCAGCCTAAGGATCTGCCCGGAACACCCAGCGGTAGACCCGGAGAAACGGGTGACATGTGAGGCGTCACTCGTGTGAGGCGGGTAGAAAGGGGTAGAAAGAAGGTGCATGTGCTACAGAATTCCGAGGTCTTATCTTCAGACAAAAGGATATATATATAAGGACCATTCATGTATAACCATCAGGATTGAGTTGGTTTGGGTATATGTGTTTCTCACTGAATTGTTTCTTCCGACATTATATTTATGTTGTTGGAGACTTCTAGATTGGTCTGGTCCATTCTACTTGCTCGGCCGGCGAATCCAGCACTGGAGCCTCGGGATATCTCGGGATTTTTTGTCCACCCGGCATAGGACCCACACCGCCGAAAAAACATCCTCGTCGCGGCCCTCTTCACGATTGAAGAACCACACGGACGTGTCCATGTAGATGACGTGTCCATGGGGATGGGAGGTCAAACTAGTCCATGGAGATGGTCACTGAAGAGACTTCTCTCAACTGCATGGTCAGTGTTTCTTTAGGTGTTTTTTGTTTTTTTCATGCTTGGTCCATTTGGTCACCGCTGATCATCGCCTCAGTTCGAGCGCCTCAGTCACTTCGTCCCTCATCGGAAGTCTTCACCGCTGACCGCTGACCGCGCGACCAGGCTGGTGCACCTTCGGCCGTTGACCATCTATTTAGCTCTGGAGGACCGCAGTGGTTCACGGTTTGGGTCACCGCTGCGGCGGGCCGCAGGCATTCACAGATTCACAAGGCTTCACAGATACGACGGAGTGGAACATGTTCGGATGTGTAGATAAAAACATAATAGAGAGTCTACAGAATACAGAGAGTCAGAGGGCCAGCAATTGACTGAGAGGCCATGGGTCTCTCTTTCAGACCAAGGACGCATATGCACGGATCATGCGCCCCAAGTGCCACACTTGGAGTTGATCCTATGTGTGTGGTGGAATGATTCAAAACATGTCAAAACACTTTATTTCATCCCTAAGGATCCAAGTACCCTCTGAGAAGGTGTTTGGGGTGGGTTTGGAGGGTCCAAGTACCTGTTGAGGAGGCACTTGGATCCCTAGGGCATGTTGTTCTATTTTTTCTCCGGCAAGACCTCTATGAACCATCATCAATAGCTGTTACAGTGGCACGACGGCACGACGACCGTCGAGACGACCGTCTGCATCCCACCTTCCTTCGAAGTTGCAGGATACATCGACGCCAGAAGAGCAGTGGGTGGCGATCAAGGCATGGGTTGCGATGGCATGGGGAGAAGGCGATGGGATTTGAGCCCTTGAACAGTATGAGTGCGCCTTTGTGCATTGAAGAAAAGTGCTTGGTCTGAAGAAGCAGTCTTTCTGATTTTATCTAGAGATCAATGGATTAACATTGGGGGGAGGAACGTTTCCGAACTCATGATCTGAAATTGGATTGTTGACCTCAATCGAATCAAAGGTGACTTCAACATCCAGTAGCAATGGCCTCCACCCTAATAGCAATGGCCTCCACCCTACTTGAATGCAAGAAAGATGTTTATGCACAGTTCCTTTGATCTAAGCACGTTCAAACATTTACTCCCCAAACAGTTTACTGTTGGGGTTCTAGAAAAAACAGAGCTGGGGTCTATCCTGGCGGGGTTCCCGGTCGATCTGAATCGACATGTTCAACCAGAGGCCATGCCTCCCTCCGTCCACGGTGGCCCGTGCGTGTTGGTGTCCCAGCGACTCCGTCGAAGGGTACGGCCACGCCGGCCAGGTGCACGAGGGCCCTACAGAAGGGAAGAGATTCTTGCTCCGTTCGTAGCGTCCTTGCTCCTATAGTAGCGATGCCCTTTGCTCCGTTCGTAGCTTCTTGTTACTAGTAGCGATGCCAGGAGCCCCGAACGTAGCTTCTTGTTACTAGTAGCGATGCCAGGTGCCCCGAACGTAGCGTCCGATCGCTCCGGGCTCGAGTCGCGATGCCCTTTGTTCCTCGGCTTCGAACATTGCTCCTAGATTCTGAATGTGTTCCGTCCAAGCATGAGATCGTCTGCAGGTTTGCCGCATCCTCTCCTCGGTCCTTCCCTACGTGGCGGAGAGGTGTGGGAGAACTCCGTAATAATCCGCCCCATGAAGGGCTGGAAGATGGCTATTCATAGGCTCTTGGTGTACCTTCACAGCCATGGAAGCTCCAGCAGTTCTCATGGATCCTATATCTTCAGAACCTGGTCGGGTCGCCGCCTCGTCGAAGCCAACGCTTCGCCTCTTCGGGTCGTGCAACGTGTCGGCCGTCCCGTGGCCCAGACACTACACCCGGTCTGGTAGGTGGGTCAGGACCCGAACTAGACAGACTATCCCAGTTGGGTACCCCAGGTGACGGGTCCTTTTTCAGATCACGTTCCACCTCTCTTGGTAGCGGTCTGCCATGTTTGGGGTGACTCAGTGGGGGGGCACAGGGGCCATGATCAGTGTGGTGACTCAGTGATCCTTCCATCTCCCGAAGATCGACCTGAGCGAGCGCTGGACCGCTTGGGGGCGCGCTTCACGCGCGCGCTTCAAGAGGCGCTTCGGTGAGAGGAAGTGAAGGTAGACCCCACAGGTGTCCAAAGGGACAGTCACAATCTGGACATTGGACATCCCTAGGGCTCCGGTCGTACCTCCTTAGAAGGTATGACTGGACCCGAACGTGGCACCCACCCCAGTCCCACCTTCTAAGAAGGTCCGACTGGAGCCCTGGAATTTCAGGCGTCCTTTGATATCTTACGTCTCGAATCAGGCGCCCTCAATAGCCCTCCCTCCCATGTCAATCTCTTTTCAAGTGGTTGGTCATGGTTTGTCGGAATTCTCTTCGATCCAATGATGTTTTTTCTGGTGCTGGAAGATGTGCTTTTCTGACGAACCTTGAAGACAATCTCCACGCTGGCATTTGCGTTCAAAGAGCCATTTGGTTCAGCCAGCACCCTACATCTATATGTACAATATAAACAAATTGGAAGATCCGTGTCTGCTGTTGGTTTCGGATTCCTTCATGCGAGATTTGCTCAGTGCCATCTCGTGGCCCTTCCTTCAGAACCACGCCATTCTTTGGGGGGGCGGCGCGCAGCGAGGCGTGGGCTCATGGATCATCGTCAGGTCCAAGCGGACCTGCAGGCAGTGGTGCACCACGCGGTGGCAGCGTTGGGTCTGCACGGACGCAGACCTGAGGAGTTCGTCGGAGTCCGTCGGAGTCCGGTCATTGGTTGGGTCTTCAGAGGCCATGTCGAGCCCGAGTCCTCATGGATCGCATCAGAGGCCATGTCGACAGAGACATGGAAAAAGCACATTGCTTTTGACTACTGCGTTGTGAGATCCTCATGGCCCGAGCAGCTGCCTTGACTCTTTCTTGCGTATCAATGGACATCGCCCCTGTAGCTACTTTCATGAGTAAAATTCCGTAACACATGATAAGGCTTCCAATTGTACCTTGACCAACCACACCCTTTTTCGGCCCTATTCCCACGTTACACCCCACACAGTGTGCATCCCTATACTTCAGTGCAGTCTACACCCGTGCGTCGCCGTTCGTCGGCTCGGTCCGGTTGTGGGTTTGTGTCGGAGGCCTTAATCCGAAGCCAGCCCTCCAGTGGCGTGCATGAAGCGGTGCAGGGGACCCCCCAAACAACGGGCTCGCTCGCTGTGTTGACAGAGGTTTTTTCGCGATCGCTGTGTTGGGAGGGCCCCGTGGTATCCGAAGCTCTGCTGGGTCTTTGAGAAGGTCGACTTTTAGGGGCCTGAAGTCTCATCCGAAGTCGAACAACGACGTTCGAATTCGTTCTTTGCCCCAGTGAAAGGAAGTTCTCTGAAAGAGATACTTGATTTCGAGGTCTTTGACTCTCACGTGTTTTCCTCCCTTTTCCAGTACTTCAATAGCAACTCTTAGTCAGACACACGATCTTCGGACAGCAGGGTGAAAAAATGGGATGAAGGCACCGGTAGCTGGGTAGAGCGGGGTAGATACTTAGTGACTTCCAGCAGAGGTTGAAGGACCCTTTTTGACTATCCCAGTTGGGTACCCCAGGTCTTCCGGGTCCTATTTACGGTCACTGGCTGCCTCTCTTGGTTAGTGACTTGGGACTTCTTTGTTGCTTGCGTATGGCACCAATACCCCCCCCCCAAAAGACCCACACAAAGAAGAAAGGTAGACTCAAGGCTGGTGCTTTGAGGGTCTTGAATGGTGGAGTAGCATGGTCTTTGCATGTCTTTGCTATCCAGTCACTTTTAGTAAGGAAGGAGTTGGAGTGCAAGTGACTTTCAGCTGCTCTCACTTACTAGTGGCTTCGCCCACTACTCTGAAGGACATCACCAGCAGTCGAGGAAGCCGTGCGCCACAGCGCCACCGTCGGAGATGGAAGCCGTGCGCCGACCGAAGTCGACCAGTCGCCAGAAAAAGCATCATCAGTCGCCAGCAACTCCTGCTGCCTCGAAACAAAAGGGGCTGCAATCCTCTCATTTTTGCCAGCATAGCTAGCTGCAGTGGAAGAGAGCTGCGATGCATCGCCACGGCTGGAAACGCCCAGACTTGGGCAATGGGGATTGCGGATACTGTGCCACAAAGCCAGTGCCGCTGCGGCGTTCAGCAAGTCAAAGTTGTTCCTGCAAGTCAGCAGACATTGAGCTCAGGTGGTTGGCCACATCAGCACTACCGCCGCCGCTGCCTACGCTGATCATGTGACTTCAGAGGTCCCCAGAACCTTGAAGGTTGCAGCTTGCAGCTCCAAGCTACTGCTGAGAATACCGGTACCCCGATCATCCCCGATCCTTGTTTGGCTCAAGATTTGTCCGCTTTGTTTCGGGGGATGCACTCATCAGTGACAGTGGAGTTTAAGGCTAGTTTAAGGGTTCCCATCGGTCCCGAAGAGAGGGTCGTTGCAGGCTTTGGCAGTTGAGAGGCGCCTCGGCGTCTTCGATAGGCACATTGCAAGCTTTGAAACGTGTTGGATCCACGGCTTTGGTATGTAGAAGGTCCATTAGAAGACTGTATTTGAAAATTCAGGAAGGTCCCATTCTCAGTTCCACGGGCATGTTCAAGACCTGAAGATATTGAATATCTTTGAATCATCGATCACTCTTCTCCCAGGCGCTGCTTGTGCCTGGTTGTGAAGTATGTGACTTGGATATTCGCGTGCCGCGTCACGCGTCCTACGTTTGTTGGTTCTGGATGCAGGGGAACAATAGATCCATTTGAACAAAACATACTAAACAGCTTCTTGTGACCCGCGCGACGGGGCTCCGTCTGAGGGTCCAATCACTAATAATAAGAAGAAGGAAAGCATGAAAGCCATCAAATTAATTGTCTTTCTATTCTTTTATATGGCTTTCATTATCAATATTGGATCATTAATATTTTCCGTTAACAGGATTCTTCACAAGCTTTTAAAAAGCGACCACCAATAAAATATGAATGATCCACCCATGCATACTTGCGACATCCGCGGCACCACTCCGTCGGAACTGAGGTGACGGGAGACCTCCCGCAGATCGTGACGCACTTGAATGTGGCTGTGCAGGATGCTCAGATCGGACGGAGAAGGATGCTGAAGGAATGACATCTGAAGGAGGTGCAGGATCTGAAGAACCAGGATCCTTCAGCATCCTTCTTTCATCGGAAGTGGATGCTGAAGGATGCTGAAGGATGAGATGCTGTGGATGTGGAAGAGTCCCATCGATGGGTGCTGCACTGCCGAAGCAGGCAGCTGCTGTACTGCTGATGTCGGACTGCTGCCGAATACACTCTGACGAAGACATCACGTGGAAGTGGTGGTCAACCCCCGGTTGGTACAGAGGAAGGTCGTCATCAGGCCATCGCCTTCCACGCAACCATGTGATGTGATGCGTGCACCAGCCTTGCAGGATTGGTATGGATTGGTGGCTGGTGGTGGTTTGCTCTTGGGCTGTTGGGTTGCTTGTTGCTGCTGGCTGATTGTTGCTGGGGGGTGGGTTGGTTGGCGGGAGTGCTGCTGGGTGCTTGGGCATGAGGCTTGAAGCCTTTTTTTCAGGCGTAGTCTTCACTTCGATGGAACTGGAACTTTTGTACTCTTTGCGTGGGACATGTGTGCCCACACTCAGCAAGGCTGTAGGGGATACATCACCACATCCTACTGTCATACAAACCAGCTACAGGAGAATGCAGCAGACCCGACGATGTCCTGTGTATTTGTCTTTCTCGTTTTGCTTCTTGGCTTCAAAAAGCTAAGTTAAGACTCGTTAAGATCCTGGATGAGAGGAGGACATCCTACACTTTCTGAGATGTAGACAGCATTTTTTGTTGCATTTCAGGTGCAGCATGTCTGTACAGGGCACGAACAGACTGGACCAAAACCCCACCGGAGAATTGGTAATTGGATCCACCAAACTAGCGGTCTTTCTAGCTGGAGGAGAAGTCCATATCATAGACTAGCTGGAGGTACTGAAAGACCGGTCTTTGCAAATCATACAAATCCCAGACACTCCATGGGACTGCCATATATGCCGCCCCATTGACCCCCAAAACCACCCCAATGTAGGTAAATATACCATACATGGAGTGTCTGGGAATATTGTTCTGGAAGTGCCAGGACCTCCAGTACGTGACCCTTTGCTATCCCAGGATGAGGTCACTGACAGGTCTGTACAAGGTCACAGACAGAGACTCCTGGTAGAGGTCACGTGCTGAAGGTCCTGGTGTATAGGTCATATGTGATAGTTGTTGGATGCTGTGCTCCCCGGCAATCGGTTGACCCTGAGGCCATCCCTGAGCAAGCTTTGCAGCATCGCCGAACAAAAGCCAGGGAGTTTGGATCGCATTCAAATCATGTGCGCCCCTCGCACAGCGCGCGCACAGCGCGCTGCGAACTGCTATGGACCCCACCTCAATCACGCGGTTGGCAGTCTGACCGTTTGCGGTTGGCACGGAACTCTATAGTTGTAACATGAAATTGACCCAGTGTCCCAGTGAATTCTATGTCAAGATGCTAGACTTTTGGTCAGGTCAACCCTTCATTTAAAAGCTTCATGTTCTGAACACCTGGGTGCTTGCGGAGAGTGGAGAGCTTCTACCAGGATCCCTCGGAAGGTCAAACACGTCTCAGAATCAAGGTTGACCTCGGTATCGCCACCATAATACTCCAAGCTTGCAATAGCGGTGTTCAATCAACAATAACGGTTCCCGTTGACATCGCATGATGCATATATGTATATCCTGGCTCTTCCCACTGTGTCAGAGGTTGGCCTTTTCATCTAAAACACCAGACAAAAGGTATACATGTTGCATAGTTGGAAGATCCAGGATATTAGGTTGGAGGCCATCGCTAGCAGGTTGGAGGCCATTGCTATTTGGTTGGAGGCCATCGCTAGCAGGTTAGGTTGGAGGCCATTGCTATAGGTTGGAGGCCATGGCTACCAGGTTGGAGGCCATCGCTATTAGGTTGGAGGCCATCGCTAGTAGGTTGGAGGCCTTCGCTATTAGGTTGGGGGCCATCGCTGGTAGGTTGGAGGCCATCGCTAGTAGGTTGGAGGCCATCGCTAATATGTTGGAGGCCATCGCTATTAGGTTGGAGGCCATCGCTAATATGTTGGAGGCCTTCGCTATTAGGTTGGGGGCCATCGCTGGTAGGTTGGAGGCCATCGCTAGTAGGTTGGAGGCCATCGCTAATATGTTGGAGGCCATCGCTATTAGGTTGGAGGCCATCGCTAATATGTTGGAGGCCTTCGCTATTAGGTTGGGGGCCATCGCTGGTAGGTTGGAGGCCATCGCTAGTAGGTTGGAGGCCATCGCTAATATGTTGGAGGCCATCGCTATTAGGTTGGAGGCCATCGCTAATATGTTGGAGGCCTTCGCTATTAGGTTGGGGGCCATCGCTGGTAGGTTGGAGGCCATCGCTAGTAGGTTGGAGTCCGGTTGGAGGTTCATTCATGCTCATTCTGTTCGTGCTGTTTGGTCCACCGGGTGTCTTCAATTATATTATAGCTTGCCGGTTCATACCATGCATGTTTGGAGCCTCCGTACCAAGAGGTACATGAGTCGACAAGCTTGGGTGTTATCCTCGATCCTGGAGACCTTGTCGGTGGACGACTACGCCCGGAGCCCCGAGATCGCCCACGGTGCCCACGGTGCCAACGGTCTTCGTCTTTCGACCCGGGTCGAAATGGGCGTTGCAAGAAGCATCAAGAAACCAAATGCCGCGGTTTTGTCAAGTGTGAGAAGGAAGAGGAAGACCTGGTGAAGGGAACACCGGAAAATGGATGCTGATTGCGAGGCCTTGAGGCATCTTGAGGCCGTGTGCGTGTGGTTTGGTTTGGGGCCTTGCAGCATAGCATGGCTTCGTCTTTGTGGAGGTCTTTCAATGTTGATCCTTTGATATTCAGTTAGTCTGGTGTGCCCTCGGCCGTGGCCTGTTCTCGCAGGCTTTGACTCTGGCTTTAGAGTAGATGGCACAAACCCCTAAAAGTATATCTTTTAGAGGGGGGGGGTCTATATAAACCACATTTGGGGATTGTGCATTTTACTCTCCATTTACTGTAACAAACACGTGTTTTGGAAAACCCCATGACCGGCTGAGAGGCATTTTTGCGAAAGATCTCTGTAGAAAAAAACAACATGCATGGTTGCCCGAGGCTGCAGCTCCATGGGGTATCTCCAAGCAGACTGCGCAAACACATGCGTAGTTATTTCATCATTTGGTCAGTGCTCCCCTTCTTCCCCATCGCGATAGATGTCATGTTTTTCGGTTTCCATTCATGTGGCATGGCTGTGTGCAAAAAGGACAAAATAACCTAGCCCCACCAAAATTATGTCACCTCCGAGTACCTTGGTAGTCTTTTCAATTCTGTTCATCTTCTTCGGAGGACTCACCGCCGATTCGACATGTGCATCGACCACCCTGCAGACCTGGTCGTTGCAGGTTGACAGCGGACTCTCCAAGGAGCCCTTCGGTGGCAGGAACGGACCTCCACCCCCGAGATGTGTCCAACAGTTGCACCAACGACCAGACAGATGCTGACCCCACCCAAAACAGAACACAACCGTCTAGAGACTTTTGGTGAGACATGATGGGACGTCAAGTTCTATGAATGAACTGGGTGTCCGGACAGGTGTGCACGATTGCTTCTGGCGATGTTGATACAAAAAGGTATCAGAAAGTGAAGGACCCGGTTCTTGGGCCCTCTTCGCTCGAAGAAAGAGCGCAGAAAGCGCTTGCGGCGCTTGGTTGGGCGCTGGGCTGATCCCGGATCACGGGGATCCGGGCTGGCCCCACGGATCCTGGAGGTCTGGCGTCGGATATCGGGGATGTTCCCTCTGTCAGTGATATCTCCCTTCGGAATGGCTGTGAGTCATATGGCACCCAGAGCCCTTTTCACACACTCATCCGCCAACGGTCGAGTTCACCGCCGGTCGTTGATTTTTTGAATTCCATTCTCGGTCAACCGGTGGGTCGTCGCGGCGCTCGTCAACCTTTCCGGCCTTTTCGCCAGCCAATTCCCACCCCAAACAATGCGGGCTGGATTTGACCCAGTCGATGGCCCAGTATGAGGACGTCCCACCACCCTACTATTAAGAACGGAGTGGGTCGTGGTTGTGGCAATGAATACCAAGGGGATGGAATGCAATTGGTCTCAAAAACGGTATAGGTGAATTGTTTGTTTGTTGCTGAGGAAATTAATGCAAACAAAACTGGTCAGCAATGGGCTATGGATGCAACTATATATTTCATGCACCAGATGCTCCATGTACTACTATAATTACTACAGTACCTACCCCTTTTTAACCATACCATGCAAGCAAATCTTCTTCCGAAACGTGGAGTGTTAGGGCCAGGGTACTAGGATGGACGAAGATTTGACTAGTCTCAGCGCATAGAATATGAGGTGTCCGAGCTGGTCATTCAGACGTTTTCTTTATTGCAGATGTCCAGTGATGGTTGAGAACAAGAAGAGGATGTTCAGTTTCTATGTTAGCTTGTGTGTGTAAAGGTTTGTGCACTTTATACCTACATGTTCCTTCATATGTCGTTGTTTCGAAGAAGACATAGTTCTTGGTGCAGGCGGAACATATGTAGTGCAACACGTTTTGGATTTTGAATAGACATGGGAAAATGACGAACAATGATGACACTTCCGCCAACAAAGAAAAGAACTCGAAAGGACTAAAAATCCAGCACATACCGGCGCAAATTACTTGAACACTACTTTGTTGCACTACTGAAGGTTTCCTATAAACTTTGTCACGACCTCGGGGTTGATTTGAAGTTTAGCCTTCTACGTGTTAAGTTTCTTTCGTATGTTTGGACATTTACAGTGCCTTTCCACTCCTTGTTCCTCATTTCACAGAAGAGGGTCCCAAATCTTTGTGGTTCCATCCATTCTTTTAACGCACCGAAGCAGCGTCCAAAAAGAAGCGAGGCTTTTCGGATAGCTTTCGAACTGTCATACCGTCCCTGCTTGTTCCGTTTCTGCCGGTTTGTGGTGCATCGCACTGTCTTAGGGGCTGTGGGGGGCCAAGAGGAGCTGTGTTGTCTCGTCGTTTGTTCAACCCATTTTTCGCTCGCTCGCCATCGAGGAGCCATCTAGCAAAGCTCCTCTTTTCTCTTTTTGCCCGTACGATGGACTGGTGGGAACTAGGCAGTATGGTTCTTGGGACTGTGTCCCGTACCTTCAACAAAACAACAGAACCATCGATTGCCGCGTTCTAGTGCAGGACTCCGACCCAGTGGAATGGTGTTTGGACCTGGACAAGAAGTGCCTCAGAAATGGTTAGGTTTGGTCCGGTCCGAATTGAGGTCCGAAAGACTAGCGATTCAGTGAGTACAACTTGGGATCTGATGGAATCCCTCGTGTATGACCCCAAGCTGACCAAGCCAATAGTGCCCAGACACTCCATTGCCATATATGTCTACATTGGGGTGGTTTGGGGGGGTCACTGTTGTATATACGGCAGTCCCATGGAGTGTCTGGGGTGGAAATAAGAGAGATTCACTGGGTTCCCAGTATACACCCAGGCCCAAGCGACGCTTGTTGCCCCGGAGTGAGCTGAAGTTTGACTTCGTGGGCAATTCTGTGGCGGGCACCGTGGCCGATTTGCTGCTGAGGCCCGCCGCCAGGGGTGTTTGATGGTGTGTGGTTGGCATGTCGGACATGGGCGGATACAGGTGCTGGATTCCACCATTTGCTTTCAAGAAGCCAGCCAAGCTTTGAAAGTTTTTTTTGGGATCACAGGGATGCAACAAGTGGAGAGTTGGCAGGAGTTTGCACTTCCAAAGTGTCCTGGTCTTTGAGAGTCTTTCAAAAGCTCATATACAGCTTCTTGTGAGGTCACCCAAGTAGCCAAAACTTGGACGGTGCTTCCGTAGGCTTGGCCACTTGGCTGGTCCAAAACCACGCAGAACAACAGGGTGATGATTTGCTATAGACGACTTCTGTCTAGGTTTGCTTTCCCGGAACTCACCCTTGCCTTTTGTTTGGTGGACCTGGATTGCAGAGTTTGGGACTCTTCGGCAAAAAAGAATTGACGACTGAGAAAATCCATCTAACTTTTTTGCCATTCGACTGGAGATGCGTTCAATATGCTCAACTTGTTCACTATCTTTCAATCCAAAAAGGGGTCGGATCGGCCTTTAGACTTACTACCCAGACGCGACCCCTCAACCCTATATGGAGGGGTCAGGGGGGGAGTCAGGGGTCGAATCAATCCCGTTTTGAGGAACCAAGGGCTGTTTGGAGCATACTACTTACTGTATACCCTATAGAGTCATTGAGGTGCTTTTCAGTGGGTTGATGTAGGTACGGAGTGTGTGTGGGGGGTTAGTTGGAATTCTGAATTCTTCATTCCAGTCGGAAATCCAAAGAATTGGAATTGTACCTGCCTGCATGGATTGGATACAATTGGAACAATTCCACAGTTGGAGTTGGAATCCATCAATGCTGACGAATTCAATCATACAAACATCCAAATTCAGCGACGAAGACTCGGAGGCTCAACGAGTTGGGCGAGCCACAGCTACGGGCAGTGGCTGCCTCGTGCATGGGCTTCTTCTTGAAGGGTCAGCGGACCTACACGAAGGACGGGTCAAACGTCTAAACATAGACGCTGGTTGATTCACATGTCGAACCTGACCTTGTGGGAAGACTGTAAACACCACTTGACCAGTGAAGGGCCTTCTACTTCTACTTCCACAGTCAGTCGGAGTGTACCCAACAAATTTTGGTTGGATGATGATACAATCATGTATCGCTGAACATTTGTAGAATATATAGGGAATATATAGGTTGGATGATTTCCACCTCACATGGAAATATTTGGTTGGATGGAAATCATAGATTTCTATATCGCTGAACATTTGTACATCAGATAGGGTGCCATACACATCCCAAGTGAAAGAGACTTAGAAAGAAGAGTGGCCAAAAGAACACATTGTGCAGCTGGCTACGCAGAAAGTACTCGTTTTATCGGGGGATATATGAACTGGTCGGTCAACACCGAGAGCAAATGGATTTGCGGTCCCAGACTCCAGATGGCGTAGCCACTCGGCTGTGCCATTGAGGTGGTCTGCTTTGTCCACCACGCCTCCAAAATGAGCTGCACTGCACGATGCTGTTTTGAGCGGTACAAAGGTCGCGTTTCAAGGCTGTCTTGAAGGGTCTGGATCAGCACCTCAGGAGAGCTACCCAGTTGAACCGCTGCTACCCAGACACTTACTTCACGCTGCCACGTTCAACAACCGTCACCCCCAAAACCTTCAACTCTCATTTGGCCTCCAGGCCGCAGTGTTTGGTCCATTGCACTCAACTTCGCAGTGTCCGACACTTGATGCAGTCGCCAGTCCCCACCTGGCATCCCAGGACCCCCGCATCAGCGAGCTGCTGTCGGGCGCCTTGAGCAGCGGCGACTTGCTGCTGTGCCGCCGGGCGCTCGAGACGCTCTCCACGCTGCTGGGCTTCTTTCGCAATGAGGCGCGACCCCGTGGGGGTCCATAGACCCGCGGTCCAACGAGTGGAACGACCCGCGCCATGGACCCCGCAGGAAGTTCCCAAACTCCGGGCCGGTAGAGGCATGGGATCGGCACTTGGCACTTGGCGAAAATGGGTGATTTGAACTTCCAGATCTTGTAAGATCTTCTAACCCTAGGGATCCAAGTACCTTCTCAGGAGGTGATTGGAGACACTCTTATGTAGGTTTTCAGGGTCCAAGTGCCTTCTGAGAAGGTACTTGGATGCCTAGGGTAAGTATATATAGGGCTTGATACACTTTCATACGTTTCATACTCCCTCGAGGACCAGAGCATGTCCTGCCAGGCCCCAGTTCGACCATTCTCTGGAAGTACGAACTCACCTCTGTTCGACCATCCTCACGAATGACCTGGACCCTATTATGTGACTTTAATAGTGTTGTTTTGACATGTTTTGAATCCAGGAGGACATGTCACGAATGAATGACCCGTCTGCCTGCAGTTGTCTCAAATGCTAAAACCAGAACTGCTACGATGCAGCTTCACCCCAGAATAGTGGCCAATCTCCATTCGTGGACAGCCGAACATGGCCTCATGATGGTCTTTTTTTTGATGGAGTGTATTTCTAGTCGACGACTATAGGCCCTACACCTCCAGTCGCACCTCCTCACAAGGTATGACTGGACCCTCCTGGCACCCACCCCAGTCCCACCTTCTCAGAAGGTACCACTGGAAGTCTAGGGAGGGATGTTCTTGCAGATCCCAACAAGGTGTCCAAATAGGCCATGGGAACGACACACGTCCTGTGCAGCTTTGATCGATCTTTGGCCGTAACCTGGAACGCCCAGTTCGTAACCATGGATGACAAAACAGCACTTGGTAGAGGTTATACACACGAGCCGTTTTTCATGTTATATACATGGTCATGACACAAACATCAACCACAATATTCAGCAATCCTCTCCGAACCAAAACAAGTGCTGTTCGATCTCCAAAGCTCAAATTGATGAATTGCCAGTGTTCAGTCACCTCAAAGTGAACCAAATCCTCCTGTTTGGGGTCAAACCATGCGGGGTCAGCGCTAAGATGCGATCCGCGCTGGACACTGACACACCTGCAAGACGGTGGAAGACGTCGCTCCCAAAAACCGGGGGGGCGGATCTGTCCGAAAAAGTATATCCCCAGACACGACCTGTCTGGGACTGGTATATTGACCGAGAAACGGGCGTTCGGGGTGGTGGAAAAAGGGGGGTCAACTGATCGGTATAGGCCGTCCGTCCTGGCAGTCCCATGGAGTGTTTGGGATCAACACATGCCATGAAAACGATCGTTAAAAAGACTAGTATATAGCTTCTTCTTACTATAGTAGTATTTCTCCAGCCTATCAGCGACCTGCAACCTAATAGCTTGTAGCTAATTACTGGCTGGGTGGAGATTTCCATGGTCTAAATGGGCATGGTGAAGCTAGCTTGCCAGGAGAAACAAAACAACCGAGCTGACAGAGCTTCCTACAGGTGGCTATATAGCGGCTCTACCAGCTGGATCCAACTAATCCAACCAAATCCCGCCATCGAAGACGTTCCTGGAACTGCTTGACCCGGCAGTAACAAGAAGCTACTAGTAACAAAGGCTTCTAGTTGGAGGCCATGGCTCTGAGAGTGGAGGCCATCGCTACTAGTAGCATCTATAGTAGCAAGAAGCTAGTAGGTTGGAGGAGCCTCCGATTGCGAGAGGCTGAGAAGGAGTCCAAGGCCAATGCCGCTGACTTCGCCGATTCCCGCGACGGGCAGGTGCGATGCGGGGGATGCGGGGGATGCGGGGGATGGTGGACAGGTCACCACGCCGCGTGGCAGGGTTGGACCAGCGACGCTCAGATCCACTGCTTGGAGCCTACGAATCGGAGTTCCAAGAATCGGATCGTCCGGATCCAAAAGGCATGTGACTTTGGATAGACTTTTGAAGGCTCCTTTTCACGACGGAGGCCTTAGGGGCCCCACTTAAGTGTGTGTTTCTATTTCCCAGACACTCCATGGGACTGCCATAGGACTGCCGCCCCATTGACCCCCAGTCAACCACCCCAATGGGGCGGTAAATATACCAGTCCCATGGAGTGTTTGGGTTTTGTTTCTATCCCATCTTCCTTGTGAAACCTCCACTCCATGAAAGACCGCAGATTCGGGCAGAGACCGGGCACGCCGCGTTTCGCTCCACGACGTTGCGGTGGTTGAAACTCGCTCCGTTCGTAGCGGCCGTGGAGCGCCCCGTACGTAGCGATGCCCCGCCCGTTCCTATAGCGTCCGATCTTACTAGCTATAAGTGAAGGCCAGGAGCACCGCCGTTCGCTTCGCGTCCTTCGAAACCAAAGAACGCTGCCGGATAAACGACGACTTGGACTCTGGGACACCGCACCGACTCACCGGGCTCACCCGCTGCGGCGCAGGCCGTCGCCCGCGCGCGGTCCGGCGCCAACCGGCTCCACGGCCGCCAGGTGCTGGGACACACGGATGGTAAGGCATCCAAGACCAACTCGGCGATCGAGGCGCGAGGGAGGCGGTGGGGAGACTCTTGGCCGCGGCCGTCCTGGGGACACGACTGGACGTAGTGGGTTCATTCCATGACCCATAGACTCCATGTATTGGAGTGGTTTGGGGGGGTCAATGTAAGCATATATGGCAGTCCCATGGAGTGTATGGGTGAGTGTTCCTTCTTTGACGTGAAGATATGTTGAGATATAGCCAGACACGACCTGTCTGGGACTGCCATAGGACTGCCGCCCCAAAACGACCCCCTTTCAACCAGGTTGGGCCGTTTCTCGGCAGTCCTGGCAGGCAGTCCCATACACGTCGTGTGTGGGGTATAGATGGTATAGTATATCCCAGACACTCCATGGGACTGCCATATATGCCTACATTGACCCCCAAAACCACCCCAATGGGGCGGTAAATATACCATACATGGAGTGTCTGGGTATATACTTTAATACTTGGTCGGGCCGGGGACATGTTTGACACCCACGGAACCATCAGCTGGATGGTCCATCTCAGCTTCGGATGGATCTGTTTGGCCTGTATATCATCGGCTGGAACCAACACAGACAAAGCAGTCAAAGCGGACAAAGCAGAGTCATGCAGTGAAAGTCGTTTTTTTTGTGTCTTTTTCATGTGTAATTCGTTAAAACTGATCTCGCGGGTTCGCAGGGAGATCCAAGAAATCACGTCGACGAGCAGTTTGGCTCGTCCCATCCACTTCTGCCCCAGTGGATGATAGTGGTTGAGTTGAGTTGAGAAAGGGGACATGTCTCAACAAGTACACCTTCGTGGCGGTTCACCACAAAATTACTTGGTTTGAACCACCAGAAACCTGTAGCTAAACAAACTATATATCGCGATCTAAAGCATTCTAAAGCAATCGAGCCTTTAATCCTTCCAAGTTGCCACACGTGTTCACTAAACACCTCGAGTTGTTTGTTTTTTCTCCATCAATCAAGCATGAAAAGCGCCGTGTTCCATCCATGTTTTGGTCACTACCGTCTTCTTGACTGCGCCGAGGCCGCGCAGCCCTTGGCGGCGTTCTCTGATCAAGTCTTAGCGCATATCACGCTGGCCGGCAGCGTGGGCCCAGCTGCGTTGAAGCCGAAGAAACCTCCGAAGCGCTCACGAAGCGGGGAACACGAGGAGCGGGACGGCTTTACTTTGGCGTTTCTGTGGGACATGTGTTGTGGCGCAGAGTGGTGGAAGTGAGTGTGTGTATGGGTGTGTGTTGGGTATGTTTGGGCGTATGTGGGAGCACCTGGGCAACAACTCTGAATTTAACTGAAGGCATTCGGTAGATCCTTCGTTGACAACGGAAGATTCGACTCCATGTGACTGAAATCGGCCAAGGAAGGGCCCTATACGACTTGGTGTGAATCGTTTTTGAGGCTGGAGAAATGAGTAGCAGGCAAGGGGACATGAGTCTCATTCACTTTGTACATGGTTCAAACAGGTTTTGCGTGTGTATTCCAGCATCAATGCCTTCTAAAGCAATATATAATAAGGCCTAGCGAGTGAAGTCAGATCTAAAGCATCCTTCTGGCACACGATCCTTCTTGTTCTACCAACACATCAGCTTGAAAACAAGGCAGGAGAACCCTCCATTCAAGAGGTGCAAGGCCCCTCAACGTGAAAGGCTCCTCAAACAAAAACCTGTTTCCTGCTGTGCCCTCCGTGCCCAGGAGGACCTGGAAGCCCAACGTGCGGAGAGCGTCCTGCGCGTGCGGGTGGAGGCGCTGGCGGTGGCACGGCACCTGCATCAGCAGGGCTTGGTGAATCCCATGACGGTGCTCCCCAAGGCGTCGCGGAACCCGCACGCCGCCGCGTTCCGGAACGCGCCGTACCCGTGCGCCTGAGCGAGGAAGATGCACCAGCGACCTGGTGAAGTGGTGTTCGATGTTGATGATCGTGTGGCTCGTGGATGGGATCTCGGTCCGAAATGTCCGACATGTCGCTTCCAAAGTTTTCAGAAATTTATTTGACATGTCGGACCTGGTTCTTCAGTACGTGACCGATCTTGGTAACCTGGTTGGTTCGGTCACTTAAGCCTCCTAAGGGTCACGAAAAGGAACCTTCAAAAGGTCACGCACTGAAGAAGCTGGTAGTAGAGAAGCCAGGTTGCAAGCGCATGACCCTATTCCAACAAGGCCTTCAGCTGCACTCCTTGCGGCCGACGGCACCAAATGCCTGGCGGTTTGGCCACGAAACCCGGCGGTTTGGCAGGTCTTTGCGTTGGCCTTCGCCAGCGAATGGCGGCTTTCAGAGCCGGCGACGACGATGCTGAAAGAGATGTTGGAGCTGAGACCGCAGCTGCTCCTGGGCCGAAATCATTTTCTTTAGCTCCATCCAGGTTGGAGTGAATCAGGTAGAGTTCATATATAATCATATACACAGAGGGTGAGTGTGATGTGGTAACGGAGGGTTCAAGCTGGACACAATATGCATTTTCCCCCCCTAAAGCCTTGTCTTTTCTTCTGGACTCACGCATGTCCAAGATCCTCAACATCGTAAGACCAGGCCATGATGGACCGATGAATCTTTAAAGATGGACATGATGGACCAGCCCATCACCATGATGGACTTGTCCAAGATCCCCATCTCATTGAATCTTTAAAGACAGGACCGCCAGGACCGCCAACGATCATATTATCACCGTGGGGCTGGTCATGTGGAGTGGGAGTCTAGTGCTTCCAAGGTTGCTTAACCGCCTGGAGGAATCCTTCCGCGAATCCTTCATCGCGCTGCTGTGTGGCTTCCTTCGCCTGGGCGAGGCCCAGGGGACACATCATCTCCTGCTTCTGGGTTGGAGGCCATTTCTATTAGTGCTAGTAGTTAGGAATAGCCGCATAGCCTGTCTTTAGGTTGGAGGCCATCCCTATTAGGTTGGAGGCCATTGCTTGGAGACGGGACGCGTGGCCGAAGCGGGTGGGGCGGTCTATCGCCGGGGCGACTCCGCACGGCATCGACAATCGGACTGGGCGTCCCGTCTGCGCGGAGAAAAGTGTGCGATCGCAACGAAGAGGACATTTCATAGCCCAGACTCCATGGGACTGGCATATTTACCGCATCAGGCCAGGGGTGGTGCCAGGGGGTCTTTCTGGGGCGGCAGTCCTATGGCAGTCCCATGGAGTGTCTGGGGTAGAGAGGATGCCCTCAACGGTGTATATGTCACCTTCCTGATTGACCAGTCTACAGATGGAAGAAGCAGAAAGGCCTCGGCTCGTCGAATGGTGCTTCTCTCCTTTGCTCATAGGTGCTTGAAGGCTTGAAGTGATGTGAGGTGTAGAAGGCTTGAAGTCTTGGTATCTTGGAGAAGGTTTGAAATCGTTTCGAAACTGGAACGCTTGGACCACGCACACTTCACCACTGCCCCCCTTTGCACTGGGTTTGGGTCCTCGGTCCTCACAACTCACCACCTTCACCTTTGATGCTTCTCGGCTCCATAAGGGCCGAACTTTTACACGAGGGGTTTTAACTTTTTGGACAAACCGGGGAAGGTTCAAGCTTGCCAAGTCTAGTGGCATTCAGATCATGTCATGCTCCGGTACAAAAGAGCTGCACCATTGCACCTCCAGCCGCACCTCCAGGTGCTCGGCACACAGCAGCTGGCTGGCTTGGGTGAGGTCTATGCCGAACGCTTCCGCAAGCAGAAGCTTCGCTGGGCGGGGTGTGGGATGACATCGGATCAGGAGGCTTCACAGGTTAGCTCGAACCTGCTTGGTTTAAGGGATCCACTTTTGCCTGACCCAGACACTCCATGGATCTTTAAATGCCTGCATTGACCCCCCCCCCTGGCACCATCCCAACTGATCGGCGCAGTCCCAGACTCGTGTTTGGGTGATGAGAAGTTGATGTTTGGGGCGAAAAAGGGTAGTCCATCTCATTCTGAGAAGCTGGTGGAATTCTGATTGATGAATCATAGCCTTAGCGACGCCTAGCTTTTATTCAAAGAAGTCACGAGTCACTGATCAGACAAACATGTATACAGCATCATACAGCCAAAGAATCCTCCCCCCCAAAGAAAAGTGACTGAGGCCTCAAAGCCACCTCCAGACCTGCTCAACCACCCAGACACTCCAAATGGGACTGGTATATTGACCGAGAAACGGCCAGGGGTGGTTGACTGGGGGGTCAACTGATCGGTATAGGCCGTCCGTCCTGGCAGTCCCAGACAGGTCGCGTCTGGGCCATAACAGCCATCTCCGGGTGGTCCATCTCTTTTTCTCGTGCCGAATGGACGAGTGCCATGGGCGACGGTGCCGGTGCGATACAGGTCGGACTAGTTAGTTCGATCCAATCGATGGTTTTTCGAGAAATGACAAAGACACTGGATGTCCAATGATTGGTCTCAAGATTGGACTCGTTGTTCATCGGTTTTCCATTGGCCAATTCTTGGGCGCTACATGTCAATCTTCTTCGGGTACCTTGAGGCTTGGAATGAAGGGGGAACGAACGGGGGGCAATGGATGACATCCAGGACTTGTCCGGCAACAGTATAGGACTTCTTCAAAACCATTGGAGCAGGGAGTATGGAGTCCTGCAAATCCACGATGAGCGAGCTCGCCGCGTGGCCATGATCGATCGATGCAATGAGGGGTCTTGGAACGGAATCGACCAGAAATTCTCCGTTCAGCTCCCTTTACTCTCCACGACTCGACCTCCTCACACAAGCTGACGTGGTCTCGCCTGAGGAAAGCCTTGCGCGACGGCTTTCTGCGGAAGGCCTTGCAGCAACTGCAGAAAGTGCCCACGGGCCAGTGCGAGGAAGATGACGGTGATGGGTGGATCGTGACGTGTGAAGACGATGGCCGCAACTGATGGCCGCCTCCCCCGAACCTAGAAGCTGCGGGTATGAAACCGGAAGATTTGTTTCCCGGGTTTGAGACCATGTAGGGATGGTTGGGAGCCTTGATGCAGCAGTCCAAGTGGTTTATAGCATGTTCTGTGAGCTGAAAATATGGATGCTGTGTGCCAGCATGTCCGATCCTCTAAAAGGTTTTGTTTGCCATTCTCGCCTGGCTCACCTTGTTCTCCCACTTTTCTAGAACACCTTTTGTGCGCACATCAATCCCCTACCTGAACCTTCAAAGGGTGTTCAAAGGAGATCCACAAGTGGTGTAGGGTATGCCGTTGGAGACTCTTTGGAAGGTGCTGGTAGTATCATGGATATGATATCACTGATGTTTGTAAAACCGCTCTTTGCCAGAATTGAGAACACTCACTCTCCCCAACTAGTGGCCACTAGCGACGATGTTTGGTGTTCAGGCCCGAAAATTGGGCGTGCAACATCTCAAAACCACCCACAAACCTCCACCCTACACCTCCAAGTACCTTCTCAGAAGGTATTTGGACCCTCCTGGCACCCACCCCAAACACCTCAGAAAGTACTTGGAGGCCTAGGGCCAACTCTTATGAGGAACACCGGCAAGTCCCCCCGTCCCCCGTCCCCGCTTCACCAGGACCGCTTCGCCGAGTTGGCCGCCTTGGGCGTCGGGGCTCCTGGCCGACGTCGAGCGGAGGCGTCTCACAGTGAAAGGCCACAGGCAAGAGCGGTTGGTGGGGCCTATATTGAGCAAAGTTAAGCCATCTGGTGCGCATCTTGGCCCTAGGTTGGGCCAAGTTGGGAGGAATGAATGAAATCCCTAAAAAAATCCCAACCTTCTGAGAAGGTCTGTGGATTGGGGAAGGAATGAATCCAACATGAGCAAAGTCATTTGGGGGTCGACCTGGTGGATCGATCACACTCGAGTGACCCGCTTTCAACTGATGACCGCTCTCATGCCGCGCAGGACAATGGGTGTAAAAATCACCGGAAGACGATCCCATGGGACCCTGAAAACCACGTCGGTTGGTAGAGGAAAACCATCGGACCCAGGGGGCCAGGACGTCAGGGTCTATGTTAGTTTTCGGGAGTGTAGGTGTTATGTGATGTTATGCTCATATTGACTCAATATGCAGAATCCCTAAGCTGGCCCAATTGTCTTGCAGATAGTATGTATACGGAGTCATCCTAACTGTAGTCGCAGATCCTTTGTCTTGTGTCATGGAATGTCTCAACACGGAGAAACCATTGCACTGAGCACGAAACATTTGACCTGTAGAGAGCAGAGCATGCACAGCATGCAGCAGATCTGCCAAAAGCTCAGTGCTTACTTACACATTACTGTAAGTTTATGTGGTTGCTTTCTCTACCTACATGCCAGAAAAACAGAGATGTAAATGAACCTTTGTTTTCTGAAGGTCTACCTAGATTTACAGAAAAAGACGAGATGGAAGCAGCATTGAACAAAAAATATACTGCAACCAGTAACCAGTATAACCAGAAACCATGCAGTTGCTATATATTTTAACTATATAGTACAGTTGATTCTGGTTACTGGTACATATGGTACAATAAAATTAGTACTGGTATCGCAACCTGTAACTGGTTATCTATATGTACAACTATATAGTACTGCAGTACTGCATGGCTATATGTACCTGGACCCGACTGACCCAGTACATTCGAAAATGGGACGTCTGAGCCCCTAAAAAACAGCTACGACTGTACCCATTGAACCCGAGGTACGAGTTCCGGGTCGACTGTCAATCAGTGCAACCAGTACTGCCAATCTGTCACCGATCGGCAAAGACCGACCTCGATCCTGCCAGGTCATCGACGACGAGGAAGCTTTAAGGCACACCGCGCGCGCGCGCGCGGAAGGCGTTCCTTCGGATCACTGGGTTTGCGGTGTGACGACGGGCGAGGGAGAGGGAGACACTTGAGTTGGATTGGAAAAGACACCCCGAAAAGGTCCTCAAACTCATTGAAGTTGGGTAACTTTAACTTCAATACACTCCCAGCTTGATGATTTGACCCTCCCAGTCGTCATATGACACGGACCAGTTGGCCGTTTCGAACAAAACAGGGCGGCGTGGGATTGGGGTGTCCAATTTTAGTGGTGTTGCATAGGAAAGGATTCAATCTTACGATGGACAGTTGGTTCCTCGATTGCGAAGCGAAGTCGATCGGCGCTGGTGAGCGATGGACCTGTAATTGAAACCGCATTGGTCCACAAGCATCAGGGTCCCTTTTGTTGATAGTGACTCCCCAAATAGATAGAATGGATTAAAAATGTAATTGAGGTGGGGGGGGTGGGGTATGTAACAATTTTCAATTACATTTATTTTTTTTCGCAGCTGCGGTCCGTCCCATATTTTGGTCCGTCCCACACTTCGGTCATGTTTTTCGCAGCCATTTGGTTGGATCATTGGGCCACGGGCGATGGAAGCTTATGTCTGGACCTTAGACATGTATGCAAGTGTATGGACGGTTTTTGTTTTTTTATGGGAGGAGCGGATTTATGGGACACGACGATTCAATGCACCTGCAGCTGGGGCTCAATGGAAAATATATGTCTATGCTCTTTTATAGGAAAATATACCTTTACCATCCTTCACCATCCTTCACCTACTATTTATCATCATTGAGTACTCATATTCTTTATCATCCTTTATCTACTATTCATACTATTTATCATCATCCTTTACCTACTATTTGACACCAGACAGAACAGAAAGCATCACATTATCTCACATCATGTCATATCACTTCAGGTCACATCAGCCTTTCAGCAACATGCAATATCATGCAACCACATTACAATCACTCAGACATATTCACCAAAGCACCAGCCCCAAAGATGTGTCATATATGTTTGCCATTTTGCAAAACGTGGTATCCCTCACTTTGGTCTGTCCCCTCACTATCCCTCACTTTGGTCCGTCCCCTCACTATCCGTCCCTCGTTTTGCCCATGTCGTGCCTGCGGTGTGGGCGGTGTTGCAGGGCAAGGGACTTCTGGTGCCGCCACGTTGGGGAGCACTGCTTCCATGACGGGTGCCTCGCGACGGTCCTTCGCTCCTCAACATACTTCTGTCCTTATTTGTTTTGTTTCTTACATGTGGGTGCTGTGTGATATTGTATGGCTGAGTTTTGGTGTCATTGCATATGGACCCACAAGAGGATTAGAGGATTCCCACTTGCTTCATGTTGGCTCTTGATGGTTCATGATGGTTCTTGTGCTAAGGAGCAGGCAGCCAGCTGTGGGACCATATCAGGGAGCAGCATGATGAAGATGTTCTGGCATCATGGAATGGGTCCCTTCGTCTGAGATGGTCTCAGACTGCCACCTGCAGAGTGATGATGATGACATTAAATGATTGGTAATTTCAAAAATACAAACAATTACAAGCAAATTCAACGCCATAGTGAAAGAACAAACAATATCAAAAATATTAATACACATGCAAATGGGGTTTCTTTGAAGTTTTTTTATTGTATTCACATGATTTCACAGGTATTCATGGTAGTTTGGTCAATCTTGGTTATTTTATGGTTTGTCTAGAACGGTCTTAAAATTTTTATGAATGATTGAAACCTAATTTGCTGTTGCTTCTTGACGTCGTGACACCTTGCCAGGTGTCCAGTTTGCGCCCTGTCGTCTCCGGAGGCGGCCGGCCAGTCTTGCAGAATCTGGCCGAGGAAGGTGCTGGTCGTTGCATTTGGGTTCAACAGGCAATATTGCCGGGAGAAGGTGACTTGCCCAGCATTGGAAAACCTGTCATGGTTGTCGATGTAATGTGATGCCATCAGACTAAGAACATCAGAGACCCCCAAGAAATCCCAAGAATCTGCCATCTGGCGACAATCACCTTTGAACGTTCCGTGTGTGCCAGTTCCTTGACCCGTCCTACCTGCCGGATACTATGGGCGCGCGGTGCCTTCGGTCAGTCATCACCCACAATTTGAACCTTTGTTACTATTATTTACTATCGAGTTGATGTGATTTGATTTTTCATGTTTGTTTTATTTTGTAGCATTTCGTAGCTGCTGTATGATGTTGTATGCAGTGGCCTTCCATTTTTCTTGCATTGTTTCATATTGTTTCATTTTGTTGTGGAAGTTGTAGGAGTGCTTCACATGGTCCTTGCTCCAGACTGCTTTCCCCTTCTATGCTCTGAGGATGACGTTGCTCCCGAACCCCGGCACGAGGGGAAGATACGGGCCTGGCTTACGCAGGAGCATGTGTGGGGTCATTCCATGGCCCAGCCGGCCCTGCTCATGATCCTGCTCCAGCCAGCAGCCTGCGTGATGCCCCTTGGAAAGTTTGGCAGCCCGTTCAGTTTTTTATTTTTTGTCGCGTAGCCCTTCCAGGCCATTCCACATGGCAAGAGGTTTCCGCTCGAGCGCCCACCTATTTCATCACAATTTCGGAGGGGCAGACGCTGAAGAACTTCCAGAAAAATGTTTTTCAGACTTCGAGCAATGTATCTGCGGCTGAGACAGACAATTCCGACACCTTGCGGAAACTTGCTAGAAATGTGCCCGAGCTCACAATGCCAGCGCTTCAGATGTAGCCCGAGACCCTCGGCTCGGTACAGAAATATTAAGCTGCTAAGTGATTTCTCCAATGCTGGAATCTTGACAAAGAAAGGGCAGAAACCTGATGTAACCTGATTTCGATGAAGATCCATGAAGGATCGAAGGGGGTAGACAGTTTGGAGGTGCAACAGTTGCGTGCAAAGCATGCTGCTAGCGCCACAGGGGCACAGAGCCAATCTGTCCTGCGGAAGAGTGTGCTGATGTGCGACGAAGCCTTCGGGTTGTACATTAATGGGGTGATTTCACATGATTTCACATATGTGTGCATACGAAGCCGCACTGCAGGTGCAACTTTGCGTTTGGCCGCACGCCTGTTTTCGTGGACAAGGAGGCTTCAGACTTTCTGTTGAAGTTTCGGGTTCTCTTTTCATGTGATTTGGATTTCATTTCTGTCACCAGCATGCTCTCATCCCAGTGATGAAGGGAAAATGCAAACCAATGTGCAAAAATTAACTATATATTATACTCACTGAAAATCAGACGGCAGAAATTGTCCAAGAACACCGAGGCAGTTGTTGGAGCTCACACTTCAGGCGGGGCTCTCAGTGTGCCAACTCTCAAGCTGCCACGTCGCTTGCCATGGTAGTAGGAGGTTTTACTGCCTACACATCACAAAGTTGGAGAGTGTCTATTACTGTAGATGGATGTATGTATGCTGCCCTGGGCATGGCCCGCGAGCGTCGTCGGAAAGCTCCGAGGTTTTGATTGTCGGATGGCCTCAATACCACCGCAACTGAAGCCAAAGAATGCCAAAGAGGTCTGAAATGGTCTGAAGACAGGGCATGATTTTGCATGGCAGCGTATTGCAGGTCTAGATTGATATAGATTAAACTTCATTTTTCAGGGGGGTCCTTAATGATTGTCAATTTCTTGGAGAAAGCTATGTCAGTCTGAATATGTCAGGCCATGTCAGGCCAGCAGGCTGAATGTCTCCTACTGACGCTGTATGACTGGCCCGTCCAAGATGTTGGTGAAAGCATGTGAAAGCTCTTGGAAAGAGCCTTAGAATTCCTGTCTTCGATTGGGAAAAGCCCTGAAGCGGCATGAAGCGGCAAGGTTGCTCGGATCCTTGGATATACAATGGGTTTGTCGAGGGATGCCGAAAGTTTGAGCAAGTTGTATGGGCTTGTAGAAAGCCAGACAGATCTGTGTAATTTTTTCCAGCTGTGAGATGGCACTTCCCAGCAAGAAGTCCTGACAGGGGCACTCCAACAAACAGCGGTTCAAAATCACATGGACCCACCTGGCAAGAAGTTGACAGTCTGACAATGTTGTTAATGCTGGGTCAGGCTGGAATCGAGGAACGAGCCCTTGCCAGCAAGAATAGCTGTTTCAAGCTGTGCAGCCAGCGAATGCTGGCAGCAGCTCCAGTGAACATAAGTGAATGCTCGCTCGGACCCAAAGAGAGGCGTCCGAAGTCCTTTCGTAACAAAAATAAGTGTAATTGCCCCCCCCCCCACGTCCACCCCCTCTATAGGGGTGGCCATTAGATAGAAACGATTAGACACGGTTTTGCAATACATTTTTAGTGGAGATCTACTTTTCTATCATACTTGGGTGTCTATCCCAGACACTCCATGTATGCCATATATGCTTACATTGACCCCCAAAACCACCCCAATGATACCATACATGGAGTGTCTGGGTATAATAGTGTCACTTTTCTATACTTCACAAGTCGCAGGCCATTGGAACGGATGCCCCTTCCCGCCAGGAAGGAGTCGGTTGCAGCCGCGCAGCAGCTACCGCTCCGTCAGCGGCAACAACTGCTGTACTCCCAGCGGCTTGGCGTCCAAACCGCCGCCTGGAGTGGTGGGTAACGGGCAGACGCCTTTTTTGGTCCAACCCAGACACGACCCTGGACCTGAACCTATGCAGGGGTCGGACCCTGATATGGAGGGGTCTGGACCCTCAAAACCCTATGGTTTTGAGGGACCCAAGGGCTGTTTGGAGCGTCTGGGAAGTCAATGTTTGCGTGGCCTCAAAAGATCTCAAGGAATTCAGATCCGCTGGACATCTCTGAAGGTTCTTACCAGGACCCATTTTCTTGGGTTCCATTCTTCATCCTCCTAGCTTCTCAAGAGTGAGGGCCTTCCACGACAGTGTGCAAGGAAAATTGCCCACACGGCCAAAGGCTGGCCGCACGCTGTTGTTTGACGATCGATCTGTATTGATCGGCATTTATGTCAATTCATCTCATAGTCATCATGGGATGGAACATGCAAGGTCTGGTTGATAAGACATGTTTTCCTGCGTTACGAGTGTTCAAAGAAGATGGAGGATATCCAGCGATTTGATCACGTCCGAAGCCTGGCCAGCCTTCAATCCTCCAATCCAATTGGCGATCCTGCGATCCAGTGACTCTACGGCTGAGGAATCCCCGTCATTCCTCGTCATTCCAACTGTGGGGGGGTCAAAACATCCCTAAAGGTCCGCCAGGAGGGTGACCAACATCTCCACTTCCGATGATCCGATGTAGGTAGAATCCCTGTCTGGAGTCCCTGTCTGGAGGCAAGGAGAAGCAGACAGGCGACAGGCGAAGCAGCTACCCACTCCAAGGCTTCGTAAGGCTTCGTTGATGTTGGACCATTTGTTTGGGGGAAACTGGCTGCAAGTGCCAGCATCACGTCCCTCAAAGGCTTTGATGTCAGTGTTTACTCGGACGAGAATCCCCTGCGAAGGTCATGCAGCAACAAAGAACCTCTAAAGGAGGAGTGTGTCCAAGGTCCACCGTGAAAGGAAGGACATTCCTTCCATATGCATCCAAATGCGTGATTCATGATCCTGTTACTGGGAAGTAGAGACCTCAGGTCTCCCAGGTGTTGGTCTTAGCATGTCTTAGCTATGATAGGCATCGGTTTCGGAGCCACTCGCCCCCTGCGACTTCTCTGTTTCCACGGTCACGCCGAGAGAAATCCCTCAGGTTCATTGCCGGAGCCATCAGCTGCTCGGTCGGCGTTCCGGGAGGCGTTCCAGGGGCTGCCGGCACCTGTGGCATCGCGTCGCTTTTGGGTTCCTGAGGTTGGGATCCCAGACACTCCCTGTATGGTATACTTACCTACATTGGGGTGGTTTTGGGGGTCAATGTAGGCATATATCCCAGACACTCCATGGGACTGGTATATTTACCTATCACTTGGGGTGGTTGACTGGAATGCAATGGGGCGGCAGTCCTATGGCAGTCCCATAAAGTGTCTGGGGATGATGGGAAGTGCCAAAAGTCACAGAGCTCCGGGGTGGTTTTGTTCGTCCCATCTTCCGGGCCGGATGTGACGTTCGGGCACCCCGACGGCACCCTCCGAGTCCGCAGCCCGTCGAACGTGACTGCTGGTGGAGAGTGACACTGCAAGTGTGGATTTGCTGTACATATGTGCTTGAAGTGTGAATCAGGGAATGCCCTCAGGGTGGGTCTTGGACCAGGAAACACCACGAGTTTCCCAGTGAGTCTTGTGACTGCTTATGCCTCTATAGATATAACCTTTGCCTCCGCCTACTGTATGACACTATATACTTAGAATCTAACTAATTACTACAAGTCTACTATTGAATGTGCATTTTAGCTTCTATTTATATTTATTTATTGTTTCTAATAGCTTCTTGCTCCTAGTAGCGAGGCCAGGAGCTCCTAGTAGCGTCCGAACGCTCCTTCATTTTACTCCAAGGGGTGCCTCTGGTCAACGGCTCAACAGGTGCCTCAGGTAAACGACGTCGTGATCGCCGACTCCAGAGAGCGGACTCCATTCTGTATCCTGCATCTACTCGACACTTTATACGCTCACTTCGCAGACACTCCCTGTATGGTACATTTACCTACATTGGGGTGGTTTGGGGGGGTCAATGGGGCGGCATACATGGCATACATGGAGTGTCTGGGCTTTGCAGTGAAGTACCTGAAGTGATCCGAGGCTCTTTGCCCTTCAACTTCGAGAGCGAGCCACTCCTCTTGATCTACGATGCATGGCGAAAAGCTAGTCAACGGAATTAACGAGGTGAGGCTAAGGCTAAGGGGTGTTCCAGTCAGCAGTTGAAAGGTTTGCAGTGATGCCAACACGGAGTCCTCATGGCCGGTGTGAGGTTTGAGGCTCACAGTTCGTGCAACACCTTCCTCGCGAAGTTCCCCAGATGCATTTGTTCTGTAAAGTCCCACCTCACCACATTGGAATATCCGCACACCCAGTAACAGCCCAAAGTCATTATCGAATCTTCAGCAGGGGCCTGGCGCCTTATCAACTTTCATCCATTGATTCTCTGGTTTTCGCTCCGCTCGGAATTGAACACCTCACAGACCTCATTCATGAGTGCATCACCTCTCACCGTGACCTCCGCCCAGGAGTGCAACCACCACATCTCTCTGCACGCGGGCACTCTTCTAGCGAGTTTTGAGGGAGAAAATACTCCCAAGGATCCGCCGCCACCGGAGCAGGCGAGTTCGACGTGGGCGGGGAGAAGGTCTGAAGTATAGACTTTGGATCCGCACGGTGTTCATGGACTCTGGTCTTTCACGGTAACGTCCCCTCTCTCACTGTTCACAGTCACTCAGCCTTCTCAAAGTTAACGTCTCATCTCTGAGGCCGTCACTAGTAGGTTGAATCGCTAGTAGGTTGTTGCAATTGGCCTGAGGCATGTTCAGCCACAGAAGGAGTCCGGTCGCTACCAAAACACGCCCCAAATCAGAGATTTCAACATCTGTGCGTCCTAGATACTCCTATACTCCATGTCGAAAAGAGAGGACCTTGTTGTCGCACATCCTTTGGAACCGAAACCTGAGGCGGGAAGTGCTCAGTCACACCGTCACACGAAGCCTCCCAGGCAGCCCGTCAGCCAGCTTCAGGTCTTCCTGTCCGCACTTTCGGTGGTCACAAGTGTGGTCCTGAAGAGCGTGATGAAACGAGAATACAATCTCTCAGCAGAGTCACTTGGATCCGGTGCCTGTACGGGGGGGGCGAGAGGTTGTACCTTCCGGTGCCTTTCGTCGCGGTCTTTGAAGTCAATTGCGGTCTTTGAAGTCAATCTGCTACAGGTGTTTTCCCATCCATCAAGACTCAGCTTAGGCAACTGGATCAGACGACCCGTTGAAGAACAAGTGCCTCCCATGACGTCTGACCTGAAGACTTGTTCAGGGAAGTCAACGGAGCATCATTGTTTCAACTGACACTCCTCTTCCTCCTCTTGCGCTTCAAAACGGCGGTTGCCGTTTCATCGCACTTGAAAAATCCTCCCTTGCCGTATCATCCATCGAAGTGGATGGTCGTGGCACCACCTGTAGGACGTCCTACCTTGAAGGGCCGTTCCGAAATCGGGGCCATGGAAGCAGTCATCGAAGGACCGTGAAGCCGGTCGTCCAACGGTGAGGACGGAACGGAGTTGCTTCGAAACTAGCATTTTACCACGACCAGGTGACCTTAACCACGAGAGGTGTCCGAGTCCATCATGAAGCAAAATTTGTGCAACAGAAAGTCTGGCTCTCCAAAAGTGGTCTAGCCATGACCTGTACTAGCGATGACCTCTACCCTAGTACGATGGCCTCCAACCTACTAGCAATGGCCTACCAATACTTATACTGTATACTGCTGATTAATTAAACAATAATAAACATCTGAAGTGGTTTTACAATTCAAATGGTGGTTATTGATCAAGAGTGTACATCAATGAATCATAATACCTAATCCTTCATTGATGAGAGCCATCCTTGAGATCAGACGTGTAACTTCTTCAAGATCCAAGCCCTTCATCGATTAGCGATCGTACCACGTACCAGTCCTAGGTCAGATCCCGGATCGTATTTAGCACATTTCAGAACCCAGACACGACCTGTCTGGGACTGGTATATTTACCGATCACTTGGGGTGGTTGACTGGGGGTCTTTCTGGGGCGGCAGTCCTATGGCAGTCCCATGGAGCGTCTGGGAGTGCCAGGAGCTAAGCAGGTCACCAGTGCTTTCCCAATGGTTTCCCAGATCGCTCACGAGGGTCACTTGGTGCGAGAAAACCATATAGGTTTAGGTTTTGGGGCACAGAAGCAGGTCTCCCAGCTGAGCGTGGAGGATCTGAGCAAGAACTCAGATCCTGGTGCTGTTTTAATCACAGAGAGAGAGAGAGAGAGAGAGCCAGACTTCAACATGGTGCTTTAGATGATAGGGCTATGTCAAAGGGAATCATTAGAGCACGTCACAGCAACTGACCCCCGGAGAACCAGATGGGTCTGAAGTCGGTTCAACGCCAAACTACCGTCAGCCCAATCTAAGGCAATGTGCGACCTTCAATCCAAGGCGAACAAAAAACGCGTTTTGTTTTTTTGTTGCTAGTAGGTTGGAGGCCATCCCTATAGTAGGTTGGGGGCCATCGCTAGTAGGTTGGAGGCGATTGCTAGATGCGGGTGAGACACCGGGCCTTAGGGCAGATCCAGATCTGAAGAAGACACGTGTCCCCCCCCAAAGTCAGATTGTGGAAGTGTCCCAGAGCCGTGGCCATCGGGCGGTCTGGAACCAGCGGAACAGATGTGGGGGAGGAAGGAAGGAAGATGTTGCAGGAAAAGAACAACACAATAACACCAACAGAGGCACGACAAACAATAATAACATGTGCATATGGATTGCAAAAACGATACCAATCCCAAAGACGATACCTGCCTTAAAACTTCCCAGCAAACGACTACGGTCGCTCACACGGGATTTTGTGGAGCAGAACAGTGTGGCATGGAGCAGCCTGTGGTGCAGAGCTTTCTGTGGATGGGAACAATTCCCTCCAAGAGTTTCCTACAGGTCAGAAACTGACCTCATGAGATACTGGAATGGATCATACAAAAACATGTCTCAACGAGCTTTTCGGGACCAGGTTTGGACCTGGATCTTAAATCTCAATATCTACACAGAGGAGCACTCAACCACCTGCAACATGCACCAGGAGGAATGGTTTGGTCCTCCTGACACTAACACGTTGACCAAAACATGCCACGTTGACCAGGTCCTCCTTTCCATCCTGGTGTGTGTGTGTGTTAAACAACATTGTCATGTTTTTATGTACTGGTCTTCACTCCGCAGGTCCTGATCTTCACTCCGTCCCACCGCTGTTCACTGCCGGAACTCAGCAATAGATGGGTGTGTAGATGTATATATCAGTAGGGAGTCCTGCAACTTCAAGAGGTGCAGGTCTATGTTCCTTTTGGGGTCTTTGGGAGGTCTCCCTGTTTTTATACGCACCCAGTGTCTTAGAATTGGCCCGGCCATGCGGCGTTTTCTCGGTCGCCAGGGACATCCGACAGGAACGCATTGGTCGATCGATGGCCATGTTCCAGCGCGACAAGGACCGCGGATCCCGTTCAGGGGAGGGGAAAGGGCCACGGCGCTGGGAAAATCGGAATTGGAAGGGTCACTAAGCAGGTCGGGAGACCAAGTCTGCTTGATTGGTACCTCTGGGAGGAATAAGGAATTGATAGAATCGGCCCTGGAAGGCAAACTGTCTCAACATTGAGCAGCATTGAACTGTCCGGAATGAGTTGGAATTGCCAGACGCTTCCACTTCCACTCTGTCATTGCCTCCGGTCACTGAGAAGTTGTTGAAATCAAGCGGATTGCGGCCATGGAAGCTTGGTTTTCGATGCCAGGAAAGCCTTCTTCCTCATCTCTTTGCAGATCTTGGAAGGAAGATGTTGTTGTTTGATGACAATCATGCCAATGCTCCAGCACAACCCAGTCAGCCTGTTACAGTCACTCCAAGCAAAAACCGGTTGGAGTATCCGTTGGTCAAACCAGGACCGAAGAAGAAAAAGCCCAGAATTTGCTTCTTCATGATGTCCACCAACACACGACCGACCGTTCCGCAGAAACACACGTTCGCTGCGCGCCACGCCTGCGCGCCAGCGCAGCCCGGTGGACCATCTCCGGTCGAACGCCCAATTTTGACCCTGCTTCCTGACTGGTGACCTGTTCAAGAAGATGAAGAAGCACCCTACATGAGTTCGTGCTCCACAATCCAGCTTTGCAAGAGGAGTAGAGGCCACGGCTTGCCCCATGGCTGGGACGAACGCAAGAATCACATTCCTGAAACCTACAATTGCCCTCACAAAGTGACTGAGGTTATTAAAGTGGTTGCGGAGGTTGATGCACACCTTTTGACCAGTCCAGAGCTCCTTTGGACTTCATCAAAGAAGGGAGCTATACCTTTGGATGAAAAACCGTCACCTATTCATGAAAAACAGTGTATGCTTCTACAGTTATAGGTCACCATTCAATATATAGGTCCTATCGGTTTCTTGACAAACTCCGCCAGATGCCAACCTCATTCCCAAAACGCCCCACGGCCGCTCCAGAGGTCCCACACTTTGCAGCCTGAAAAGAGGTCCCCTTTGTTGGTCCGCAGGCCATGGGACCACCGACCCGCACCCTGGGACCACCGACGCACGGCGTTCGCACAGGAGGAGGGGGCTGGGACGAACCCTGTGCGGAACCGCTTTCCCGCGGCCGAGTGGCTGGAAAAGGCGATGCTCCGAACGCGGACGGGAAAGGAGGGGAAGAGGTGCCGTGCGGAAAAGAGTGACATCAAGTGAGCAGCGTTCAAAACCTAATAGCGATGGCCTCCAACCTAATGGCGATGGCCTCCAACCTAGAAGCGATGGTCTCCAACCTAGAAGCGATGGCCTCCAACCTCATGGCGATGGCCTCCAACCTTTCTAAAGTGCGGCTTCTTTGGGATTGGAAGACTGTTAGGGAGATGAAAGGGGATCTTAAGGGGTGTTTGTTCTTTAAACTTGCACGGGTCCTCGGTGAACTCAGAACTCGTCAGAACTCAGAACTGCAGGTGATGCCCTTGGTGAAGAACTTCTCCAACTCCCCCGAGATCGCGGCCTACATTTGGGAGCTCACCGATGCCGATCCCTGGGATGACAGCCGTGCGCGGCACGAGCACAAGCTCTCCGCGCTCGAGGGCCGCCGCACCAGGGGCAGCCGCGCCGCTGCCGGCGCGGCGCAGGCGGCGACGCCCAGCCGCGCGGGGCGGAAGCCGAAGACGAAGATGGAGCCGAAGAAGAAGGGGCGGAGGCAGGGTGTCCTTCTTTTCTTTCCCCTTTTCGAGAAGACATTTCTTGGGCGAAGATGGGTTTTGGGCGAAGTGGATGGGAGTTACACCTCGGAGTAGCCAGGAATTGGGCAGCGAGGAGGTCTCTCCGAACCGGCCGTTTGGGAGGTATTGATTGGTGAGTTTCTAATTGGCAAGCTGCCAACATTCCCTATGGATCCACATACCGAACCTGAGGTACGGTGATTGGAGACTATTTATGTAGGCGCCAGGAGAGTCCAAGGACGCCTTCTGAGAAGGTGGCAGTGGATCGATAGGGAACATGACTCAGTCCACTGGTTGATTCTGGAAGTTGCCTGAATCGAACTGGTTGAATTTCTTCATGATGGAACCATGAGTTGTCGAACCATGTGGGTAGAGTGACTCTTCCCGGGGTCTAGACGGACTCGATCTTGCTTCTTCAAAAGCGAGTCTCCAGCAACATTGACTGGCCAGGCCAGTGATGCATGGGGCGCGAGCTTCGCGTTTCTGCCATGGGTTTGGTCATGACTCACGTGTCACGACTTTTTTCAGCCCATGGCTGTTCCGAATGATTCCTGACATTTGCGGTCGATGTGTCCATCGCCATCGCCATCGCCTGCGAACTTGGGAAGAGATCGACAGATCGGTGATTCCCTGGTGTGTCTCCAACATGTTCCAACGTCTCCTCCGCAAGTGTGCAACATCTCCTCTCCAAACTCCAAGCCCACAAAAGCAGTTCAAAGAGATTGCAGAAAAGCTTCCTCCTCAAGAGGCTATCAGGAACAAGTGCATCGCTACTAGTAACGAGGGCATTACAGCTAGCTAGCTACTACAAGTAGTAGTAATGCCCTTGTTACTAGCGATGCACAGCCTTGTTACTCGTATAGCTTCCTCCTCAAGACGGGGGCAGCTGAAGAGACGACTCGCCGAGTCACTCGACGCCGTAGGCGTGGCTACGAGTCGGACGAGGACTCCGACTACGAGGTGGGCGTGACGACCGGAGGGATGAGGGATGCGACGACCTCGGGTCGCCTTTGACTCTGACAGGTCGGCGACCTTTTCAAGTCGCAGGTGGTGGCAGTGAAGGTCCTGGTAGATGTGAAATCACCAGTTGTTGTTCACTCTTTAGATAGTGCGGAGCCAAATGACGCAGCAACAGATGGTTTCGTGGTTTGGCTTTTGGGGCTTCATGGAAGGGCACATGAGCACAAAAGATCTCCAGTATTCCCTTTTTGGGGACACAAAGATGATTCACTTGGAAAAGGACTCCTTTCAAAGATGGAATGGCCAATCCAATCATGCCATGGCTCAGCCCATTCGCCGCTCATTCGCCAAACATGGCGCTTTGGATGGTCCGTTGCTTTGATGGCTTGAGATGTTCAGGCTCGCACTCATTTTTCTTCACGAGGGTCCTGGCACCATTCTCCCGTGGAACGGGTTCTCCCCGCCTTTCGACCCGTTTTGCATTGTGCCACAAGTGCCAGTGGACGGGAGGTGGGACGGGGGTGGGTGGTGATCGGACCATGAAGATTGTCCAGCGAAGCATCTAATCCTTTTCATCCCCAGACACTCCATGGGACTGCCATATATGCCTACATTGACCCCCCCAAACCACACCAATGTAGGTAAATATGCCATACAGGGAGTGTCTGGGATCTGTAGAATCATGTAGAATCTTAGATGAATAACCCGCCCATTTGGGTTGTAAAACATCTTCTACCCATCTCCCGCAGTACAGGAAGGGCCCTGGGTTCCCGTGCTGAGAACCTCCAAACACTTCAGCAAGTTTGGTTGTCACAATCCAGCAACCCCCAGTCTCCTGAAGCTTTGACTCTCGGATGGGACGAAAAAAAACGATACCCACTCGAAAAATGAAGGTTCTTGGGCAGCCAGAAGCAGTCCACCGATCCTTTGAAGCAGCCAGAAGCAGTCCATCTCTCAACTCCCTCGCGAAGAAGCGACGTTCTTACCGCGGTGAGACCAAACAAACTACGCCTACCCACTCAGACTGCTGGGGACTGCAGGGTTAGCAGGGTTAGCAGCATCTCCAACTTCCAATTCCGATGAAGCAGCATCCAATTCCGATGCTTAGTAGCTTATTGTCTCTAATAGCTTTCTTGTTACTATACTTATAGTAAGGCACTTGTTCCTAGTAGCGATGCACTTGTTCCGTTCGTAGCTTCTTGCTACTACTAGTAGGCACTTGTTGGCTGCACTGTCTTACCCTACATCCGACCTTTGGTTTGTTCGATGTCCATCGCGTTCCGCCGGTGGTTCGACCAGAACACCCACCGTGCTTCGAGCGGCGCCAGGCCCCGAACCGGAAGCGCCCCAGGGCACGAGCACGGGAGGTGCGGAGCGCTTGCTTTGGGAGCGCGGCCTGGCAATGCGCTGGCCCCCCTAGTATGAGTTGCTTTGGGTGGTTGGATGTTCTATCCTGGACCGAATGTGTTCTATCCTGGACCGGTTCTTCCTCAAATGTCACGTAGGCCCTCCAAGATCCTCATCTATTGGCACTTCTGACCGATGTTCTTCGGAGCACGTCGTCGAAACTGCGCGGTTTTCAGCCCGACCGTAGTGTAGGCCCTACGTTGCATCCCCATGGATTCCAGGGTGCGGCGCGTGGCGGATTCCGGGTCCAGCTCGGCCCCATGGTTTCGACCAAACGTTGACCTGCAAGTTCTGCAGGCAGCACCTGCGGCTGATGAGGTGGGACGGGTTTTCTGGCGGACTTGTTGAGGTCTCAAGTCGTGATTTCACCTTCTAAGCAAGCGATTGACTAACTCAACATAGCTGCACTGTTCACTGAAACTGGGTGGCTCACTTTTTGCAGACAAGAACGCAAAAGATTCACCAAGTGAGTTCTTCTGCAACAGAAGTGTCGAGTTCCAATCAACGGTCACGCGACCGATCTGCAGTGTAGATGGGTCGATCAACTCGACCGAGACGAATGATGAATGCTGGTTCAATCTCCGGTGCTCCTGCCCGGCAGACGCTGGCAGTAGAAACGATCTATCTACCTGGAGTCTCAAAGTACCACGGAAAATGGGTACAAGATGGTACAAGTCTAGTACCTGATATTAGGGGTCATGTCCCATTTTCTAAGGTACTTTGGAGGGTCTAGGTAGTTGTTTCTTGACTCGGGATTTTTTGTTGCGTCTGTGCGACTGCATGCAGAACAGAATTAATGTGCTCGACTGGATGGAAAGATGTGTTCGACTTTTGGTTGACTTGAAACATGTTATCTGGAGTTGTCGTAGACTCTGATTCTGTATGCCATTTCTGGGTTGACATTGTGAAGCACCCTTGGATCTACATGGATCTACTGTAATGTCCAACCTCTTTGGTGACTGTTTATGTTGCAAGATGTTGCAAGGATGCATCTAGTTCAAGATCAGTGCTGGCATCCAGCTTGGATGATCGTCACCAAATGGGAAGATCACATGAACTGCCCTCCGGTGGTTGGGCCTACCAAGTCTCAATTGATGACCTGTAGAGTCGGGTCCTGGTATGAATGTACAGTCTATATACCCAGACACTCCATGGGACTGCCATATATGCCTACATTGACCCCCAAAACCACCCCAATGTAGGTAAATATACCATACATGGAGTGTTTGGGATATATATATATATATAATATATATATATAACATATTGATGAAGACATGGCATGGGTTTTCAACAAACAAACTGTCCACATCCGTCCACCAACTGATGTTTTTCTGTCTGTTTCAGGCCTCTCTGCCTCTTCTTTCCAACTGGTCATCCACCAGAAACGCCATCCTCTCTGCCCCCCCCGCAGGGTGCACGTCCTCTGCGCCGCGTCGGACGCCGGACGCCGGACGCGCCAGGAGTCGGATCTGGAGCCGCAGGACGTGGACTGAGGCGGAGCGGAGCGGACGCGTCGACGAGCAGGGTGGAACAGATCCCAGACACTCCATGGGACTGGTATATTTACCGATCAGTTGGGGTGGTTTTGGGGGTCAATGGGGCGGCATATATGGCAGTCCCATGGAGTGTCTGGGGATGGAACCGCCAAGAGCATCCGACTTCAGTCGTTTTGATCAAGAACAACAGACCAAACCTGATTTGGAGTTCCAAGGGCTGAGGGTTTGGTCACAAGGACCTGCAGTATTTGGGGGGGGGGCTCAGTTCTTGATAGATTCCTCGCTTCTGCCTGGAATGGGGTGAATTCCTCCCCTTCACTTCAAATGTAGGTTCCGAAGCGCCACTCAGTTCCAAGGGACGCGGTTCGTGTTTGGTGGTTGTGCGTGTGTGTCCCAGACACTCCATGGGACTGGTATATTTACCGATCAGTTGGGGTGGTTGACTGGGGGTCAATGGGGCGGCATATATGGCAGTCCCATGGAGTGTCTGTGTGTTGTTTGGTTTTGTTGAACTGCAACTCGGTGTGTTTGAACGAGCCGACGTCAGTGTTTTCCTCATGTGAACGTCCAGTCCGGTCGCGGAGCAGCTCGGAATTGTTTGCCAGGAAACAGGCCTACTAGCGATGGCCTCCAACCTAAGCGTTTTTCTCACAACATGACTTCAAGAAACTGAACAAGCCACTTGTCCATTTCTTGATATTCAGATTCCTGTTGCCCAGAGCCCCAGGGCCCAGGGCTGTGGGTATATTGTTCCCACCTTTTTCATGGGCGTGACTGCTTTGTCTAGTACACATTGAAGAACGCACATCAAGACGAACTGATAGGAAGGTGACCCACACACTAAAGGCCGCAGACTGGCCTAATATCCATCGATGTCCATTCATTCAATCATCCAATCTAAGTTTAGGCCACGGAATGCAAGATGTGTGTCTATGGACACCACAAACGCGTGTGATTAGGCAACGCGGGGGGAGGATTGAGGATGGCCCATCATTTGTCGACTAAGACGTTGTTTGTACAGATCTTGGATGTTTTAATTCAAACACTGGGAGGGAAGACTGATAGAAGCCAGCATGGAGTCTTCTCCCTTCGAAGCCGTGCCGGGTCTTCATCCACGCTGTCATCGGCGACAGGTGGAAGGTGGAAGGTGGCAGCCCCACGTTTCACCCGAGTAGTTCGTCTCCAGGTTGAAGCTTCAAGTCACAGCGGGAGTGTCACAGATTCTTGACCATAGAGTTTGGTCACAAGGGGGTTGATGGTACAGAATCATATCGTGTAAATTTAGATACTGTACTATGTTTGCAGATGTTCGAGCATTACATTTAGTGCAAGGATGTTCCTCTCAAGGAGAGTGTTGAAAGGCCATTTGGTCAAGTTAGGCAAATGCCCACGTGCACCCTCTTCCAGTCACAAGTCTTTGACCTTGTGGATTTTGTTGTCTCAATTTACACTCAACCGCCACAGTGTCAGTAGGTAGGAGGCCATCGCTTCTAGTATGTCTGATTGTTGGCGCTTTTTCACGATGTCGTTGGATTTGCTCACACCCAACGCGCAACGCGCGTCACGCGTTGTGTCAGGGAGCTTCACACCCTGTTGCGTCACCAGACCTGTTAATGCGACAGACCTCTCGGGGGTCCAACGCCGCGTAGTGCACGGAGGAGGAGTTTGCAGCCGGAATTCTGGTGAGTTTGAAGAAGAGGGTGCATTTCACTAGTGAAAGGACGTGTCCCCCCCCAACCAAACGTCTAGAGTCTATAGAGTCTAGAGCAGTTGTATATAGTTGCAACCATTCATCTATAGATGTGTGGTCGGGTTTTCGAAGAAGTATCAAGGAGAAGCATCGCCGCAAGCGTTTCAAGGTGAAGCATTATGGGTGTCATGTTCTTTTTGTCCCGGATCCACTGCCTGGGAGAGACTGCTATATACGGTGAGCAGGGAGACACTGTTCACGACCCAGGTCGGGTATGGCTCCGTGGCTCCGGAGAGCTGGTGAAACCACCCCCTAGGGATCCAAGTACCTTCTCAGAAGGCACTTGGACCCTCCAAACCTACATAAGAGTGTCTCCAATCACCTCCTGAGAAGTAACAAGTGCCTTACTAGTAGTAACAAGAAGCTAGTATCCCTAGGGACCGAACCTTTCGAAGTCATGCCCTACAGATCCGTGGACTACCAAACCTCAGGGCGCCGGACCCGACTGGACCCGACTGGCTGGCACTTACATGTCTCAGCGTCGAACACAGAAAACCGTATTTGAGCTTCGGTACGAAAACGGATCCCTATACCCAGACACTCCATGGGACTGCCATATATGCCGCCCCATTGACCCCCAGTCAACCACCCCAATGTAGGGATGGTCCCGGGCATTTTGGGGCGGCCTCCAACCGCCCCTAGCGGCCTGGCCTCCAACCTATACTGGCGCCAAGCACAGGAGTTGCTTGGCCGGGGGACCATCCCGTCGCAGCGCCGGGGGTGAGGCAAGGCTTCGCACAGACCAAAGCGACAGCTGCACGTCTAGTCTAAGACCCCCAGGAGTTGGGTGGTGAATGGACACCCCGAATCACAGCTAAGGGGCTATAAATAGACACTCCGACAGGAGGGTCCTGGTAGTCTAAGATTCAATCTCTATAAATCTAAGAGGAAGGGGAAACGACAGCTGCACTGGTGCAGTCTGCACTGGTGCATTTCATGACAAATCAGAGTTGCTTGGAGAATAACATTTGAACATTTGATGATAACCCGACCACCTGAAAGACGCCTCGTTGTTTTATTGGAGCTGCCCAGTATGATATCCTCCTTTGGTCTATGGCAATTCCCTTGGCCCTGAGGTATCAAAGTGATACCGAAAGTGTCGGCACCAACTGACTCCCGTACAAGGGTTGGTACCAAACCACATGCAAGTTGGTACAACACATCCGGCCCAGCTGCTTCCAAGGGGTTTCATTGGCTGGACAATGCTACTTTTTGGGGGTCTCCATCAGGCGTCCATTGGATGCAGCGCTCGCTGGTGTTGAAACCCGACTGGTGCATGTGTCACCTGTGTCGTTGGACACATGTGGGAGACAGCTGGCTCTTATGGCCCCACCTTGGCCCCACCTGGGTGGCTTAAATGACTGTGACACCTCAGCGGTTTGCGACTGCTCAGCTGGCGTGGTTTACAGCTGTTCCCTTCATCCAAACGGGAATCGGAAGGTTGTCTTGGATTCGAAGGCGCAATCCCTCCCGCACGAACGGCGTTCGGGGTGTGGCTCGGGCCCGGACAAACGGGTGGCTTCTCCGAACATCGAAGGTCTAACGAGTGGAAGCCGGCTGCCATACCGCACGAACCTCTTCTTAGGCGTTCTTTGCAACAACGGGCTGAATGTTCTGCCGGCTTTGGGCGGAAATTCTTGCCGACACGAGGTGTTTCTGTATGGCTCATTTGATACATCCAATGTTGCTGGGAGTCGCTGTAGACATATCACTTGGTGAGACTGCGACACATCACTTGATGTCCGAGCCACACCTGCGAATTCCCAGGGAATCGGAAGAGAGGCTCATGTGAAGCGCGGGGAGCGTGAGAAAGAGCCGCAGCCCGGTAGCCGGTCGATCGGAGAGCCCACCCCGTCGTGGGAGACCGGGGAGGTTCGAACCATCCCGCTGCGGGATGAGGTTTGGACAGATGAGCTCCCTGAAAGACCCCACCGGTAAGGAGTAATGATGCTTTCTTGGGACTTCTCTTCTATTAATAAGTTCTGATTGTCTTTTAAATTTGATGTCTATCCATTTGCCAATGTGTAATTGAGAATCAGGCAAAAATACACGGAGATGACATAGACATAACATACACCAACCCGTCCACTTCGTGTTCTGTGCAATGCTTTGCCATTGCTGTCCACAGCGTGGTCACAATCCCTATAGGCCTCCAAGTACTGAGAAGGGGTTTGGGGTGGGTTTGGAGGGTCCAAATACCTTCTGAGCAGCTACGAGGTGTCGGTGTAGGGAAATAGGGGTTCTTCTCCCCATGTCCTCCCCCGTCCCCGAAAGGCTGGTCGATGGGCCGAGCATGTGGGGTCTCATGAGCGTCTGGATGTCACGTGACTTCGGGCGATGGACTTGGGTCCCAAGATCCGATCGTGCTGATCGGGTGGGTTCTCCATCGCTGGCGGTCTCTACCAGGACCTTCCAACAGGTTTTTGGACACTCCTTAAGCTCTAAGAGGCTATTTATAGAGCTGTTTTGTGTGTTGTTGCCGTGGGAGGGCGCTGTACCCAGCTTTTTTTCACAAACAGATGATAGGACTGGAGGGAACCTCCGGCTCATTCAGCGAGGGGTCACGTGAAGAGCAACTCCAAAAAAAGAGTCAATCACTAGGTGATTTCAAGGGTTGCTGTATGTTGCTGTGCTTCACTAACATGGTCTTAGATGTGATGATGTGTATATATATATATAGGTTTGGAATCGGTTGCAAGACTGAGCCCTGGGCTCACGGTTTTTTTCCGATTGCCAAGAGGAGACGAAGAATCGCCAGCCAACGCTTGCTGGCTTGAAACATGGTGCGTTGGTCATCTTGCAGTTGTGAGAAGTCCTTTGCCCGAAATGCATTGTGGAGTGTGGATGTCGACTGCCCTTGCGCACCTCCGAAACTGGGGCTGCCCTGATAGGAGGCCTTGAAAGCACCATTCCCATTTCGTGTTGTTTCTATGCGAGAGTGGCACGAGAAGACTCCTAAACTTACAGGGCACTAAACACTTTCATCTTGGTATGCCATGGTAGTTCATTTCCCCCCCATGAAACAGTGACATGTGATTGGAAAATCATCGGGCACCCAGGGCGGCTATTCCTTCTCACTGCTGGTGATCACTGGGTTCGTGTCGCTTGATCCCTAGGGATCCAAGTACCTATATAAGAGTGTCTCCAATCACCTTCTGAGAAGGTACTTGGATCCCTAAGGGATGTTGCTTGTAGCATTCTCATCCACTGTCCTTCGGCTTCAGCTGGGGAAGACCTCGGGTGTACACGTCGCGCTGGCTTCGGCGCCACGCCGGCTTGGCCCGGTGTGGACCCCAGGTCGCTCGGCCGACCGGGGGTGATCCACACGTTCCTCCATCGGAGCGGAGCGGAGTTGGAAGTAGCTCGGAGTCTCGCGCAACCAGCATTTGCGTCTTCCGGTCACCTGAGCTCACCTATCCCAGACACGACCTGTCTGGGACTGCCATAGGACGGACTGCCCCAGAAAGACACCCTTTTTCCACCACCCCTGGCCGTTTCTCGGTAAATATACCAGTCCCAGACAGGTCGTGTCTGGGTATGTTCACCGGACCCGTTCGATCGCCAAGTTCGGTCAGAAAAAAGAGGTACTGTCTTCTTGGGCTGACGGTGCTGACGAAGAACGTTCGGATTCAGACTCCAACCGAGATCATGCATCCGAATGGACGAATGAGTCTTTAGGTGGGGGGATAAGCCACTTAACCCTTATCACAACTATAGTTGATATGTGTTCCTGGCGTTGTGTCAGATTCCGGACTCTTGAGTCGGTGGCGAACGTGAGGTTAGCCCGATCTTTTGGCTAGATTCTGTCCTGCAAGACGGCCCTCAGAATCACCTGAAACGGAGCTCCTCAGAATCACCAAGCACATCTGCAGGCGAAATCTGCAGGTCTTCCAGAAAACAACCGTCTTCCGAGATCATCCGAGGCAACGTCTCAATCCCAGACACTATAGGCGTTGGCATGGAGTGTCTGGGATTTTGTTGTCACATGGTTTAAACATTGGGGCTTCATTGGGGTGCTGTGGGATCTCCCAGTCTGACGGCTCAGACCGTCGACCACGGAGACCGTCGACCGTCGACCGTCCTTTCGGGATGGGCTCGCTGAGGCTCCACGATGGACTCGCAGGCTCAGGCGCTCCCGTTTTCCGAACACCCGCGAGTGACGCATTTGGCAGAGTCAAAAGTCTCGACATGGTCGCGACTGGTCGGAGGCCTTTGTGATCGAGGAGGCCTTTGTAGAAGAAAGCAGTGTAGAGGCTTTCTGAACGTTTGGAGGCCATCAAAAGTAGGTTGGAGGCTTTCGCTCTTAGGTTGGAGGCCATCGCTAGTAGCTGGAGGCCATCCCTATAGTAGATTGGAGGCCATCACTAGTAGGTTGGAGGCCCATCGCTAGTAGGTTGGACCATCGCTAGTAGGTTGGAGGCCATCAAAAGTAGCTGCTCTCAGGTTGAACGCCTGGTTAGATTTGGGTAGTGGGTCGGCCGTGGTGAGTCAATCCGTCCTGACCTGTCTTTCTTGCGTAAGTGTATTATGGATACGTATAGGATAAGTATTGTCTCAAGCGCGATGTTGGGTAGTGTTGGATGTTTTTTTTTCAGATAGCGGTCTTTTTCTTTGAGCGCCTTGGATTTGCTCACGGAACATCTCGATCATGTTCAAACCAATTCAAGTACTGCAGAAAAAAAAAGAAACAAACACATGGAATAATATAGAATCCATGAATGAGTTGAATCCCTCGTGTTCAACGGTCGATATGTTGCCAAGCCAGGCCGTTGTTCTCCCGGTTTCTCGGCGACTCGTGTCGCATCCCGCGTCGCGACCGAGCGACCATCCTCACATCGCCAGGACATCGCGAGTGCTCTCACCGGTGCGGCCGGGACGCCCTGGCTGGATGGGCAGAGAGGGTCGATGTTGCGAAGGGGAACGTTCGGAGTCGGTCTCCGAGGCCAGCGGGGTCGGTCTTCCATTTCGGCACACGACCTGTCTGGGACTGGTAGATTTACCGCGAAACGGCCAGGGGTGGTGGAAAAAGGGGTCAATGTGTCTGGGTATTGGTTCAGCCGATATGTTTTCAGAAGAGAAAGGCAGGCGGATGGGGGGCACAGGGACCTTCCGTGGTTCCCTTTTCATGTCTAAGGCAGCTGCAAGTAGGCCCTTTTTCAGGGGCCCTTTTGGATAACCGGATAACCCCCAGACAATGGAATGCCTTTTGGGGCCAGAGAATTCTTGGGGTATATCTAAGCCACTCCGCTAGGCCTTTGACGATTTTATGTGTTTGAAAATCCTTTTCTTGCTCTTATGTTTCTATTGGGTATCCGATGCCCAGATGAGCTGCTGGGCTATACTCTCTCTCTCTCTCTATCTCTCTCTCTCCCCAAACGACCTCAAAAGCCGGTTGATTCACCTGTCCCGTCGGACAAGAGAAACCAACAACCTCCCGTCGGGTCACCAGTAACCAGACAACAAACAAACTAAATCGATGCCAGAGGTGTAAAGTCTCGCTAGTAGCTTGGAGGCCATCACTAGTAGGTTGGAGGCCATCGCTCTTGGGTGTAAAGTCTCCGAGACCTTTTCCAGTCGGGTTCCACGCTCAATCAGGGCTGGTATCAGGTTCGACGCTCAATGGAGAGGACTCCTCGTCGAAGGAAACATCGACCCCAAAAAGAACATTCTGCGCATGCCTAAGTGAGTTAATGTTCCATTCTCATACTCTTCAGGCGCCTCCGGGGTGTCCCATCGAGACTTATCGGTCTCTCCTCGCCCTTCGCGCCCAGGTGGATTCAGCCCTGCGCTCGTCGGCCAGCGGCCTCGAGACGCAGCTCCGCCGGAGGCCGCGCTGGGGCACGTCTTGCGTGGTCGATGTGCGTGTGACACGAGGTGTTGGGGAGGGCTCAGAAGGACTGGGTGGTTTCAGCCCACACAAAGCCCAACATGGTCGGGAACAACCACCTGGAAAACACCTGTTTCACTGCTTCGCCACTCAAATAGGATGGGAAAGGGGGGCTGAGAGATGCTGAGAGCCGTGTGTGGTACTTTTGAACTGAACCACTCTACATTGGTTCAGTGGGTCCAAGTTTCTGCCTTGCTACGCGAGGAATCCATCGGGGGTGAGTTCCCAGAAACCCCTACAAAAAGAAAAAACAGTTCAGTCTAGACTCTAGACACAGGAGCCAAACCCATGGTTCATCAATGAATCCATCAAGTTTGGTTGGTACTTGGGCAGCCGCAAGCTTTGACCATCCACAAACATCCACAATATGATCAATGGAGGTACACCGGTGCTCATGCATCAAGCCATATTGAAATCAAGTGTTCTTCTATGTTCTTCTCATATCCAGAGATCGGAGCCACGCAACAGGGATCGAAGAACATGGGTGTCCAACGATCAGCTTCCAATTTCAGGGACCTATCTAGTGGGCATCGGTAGCGAAGGATGAAGAAGAAGAAAAGAACAGAAACTCTCCAACACCTCCCCCCCAGTGGACAGATGAAGAACTGATATCATCTCCCCTAGGGCTCCAGTCGTACCTCCTCAGAAGGTATGACTGGAACCTCCTGGCACCCCCCCCCCTCCCACCTTCTTAACCCTAAGGGCTCAACATGCGAGAGTCTTCTCAACTGGTGACTTAAGCAGATCGAACGTGTGTTTGCCCTGTGGGCCCGCAAGACCTCTCCCCTAGGGCGGAAGATGCGGCTGATGGGAAAGAGGCACCGCGGGGTGAGTCCCGGGGGGGGTGTTGGTTGGGAATTTACAGATAAATAGACAATCCATGGATAGTCCTACATGGATGATTGTAAATCAATGGTTGCCTACTACCAGTTGTTATTGTGTTATGGTTGTTATTGTCTTACAACCAACCAACTGGGGATACTGTACATGGTCCGAAGCAAAGCCTTTGTTAGTCCATGGATCCTCAAGCAGAGCTCAGGCAAGATTTCATTAGGAAGTGCTTTCTGGATCGTGGGACTGTGCATGTGTCTTCTAGACTTACTGTACGTACTGTATCCATCGCCAACCCCGTCAACAGACCAGGTCTGCGGGTTCGAGTTCGAGTCTGCGGGTTCGAGTAGCTCAATGTTCATAAGCAGATGGAATATGGGACAAAGATAGACATCATGCAGCCATTGGAAATTATGGTTTGGGGCGGTAGCCTCATCAAAAGTGATCAGATGATTAGAAGCTATGATTGCACTGATTGCACCTATAATATGTATTTGTAGACTATTGGTGTGACGATGGGGCCACCCTTGAAAGTATCCTGTCCGCGCACCACAGATCTAGTCGTTCAGAGATAGTTGTTTTTTCGTGAACACCTCCCTTGTGTCGTGATGTTCAGATGTGTGGGATTGCAAGGTTGGTGTGTAAAGTGCAAGTATCCTCCTCCAAATGTCAAAGTTAAAACCTGAGGAAAGGGCCATGGTCCACTTCCCCTTAGTTTCTGATCCACGCGCGTTTGGTCTGGAACGCGAATCCTGGTGCCAACATCAAAGAGAAGTGCATGGTATCCTTGCTGCAGTACCGTAGTTGCATCAGGTTGGAGGCCATTGCTAATTGGTTGGAGGCCATTGCTATTGGTTGGAGGCCATCAAGATCCAAGATCCAAAGCAGTTGAATCATTTGGAATCCAAATCGTGGGACTCCTTCCGTACTGCATCGCATTGCTACCACACCAGCCCAAGTGGTGTATTTGCTCCCATGAGATTGCTGCCGGCTTGCAGTTTCAATCCCTGTTGGGATTGGGTATCTCAACTCCGGGGTCTTGGGAACGACAAACTGGGCACTGCGAGACAAAAGCGGCAAGAGCCGTCTGACGTCGTCTGACGGCAAGACCTGACGTTCGAAAACACAGCGAAAGCCGCCGAATGCATGGATTCGCGGCCCAATTGCTTCGTCCGCCACTGGGCATATCGAAATGAAAGACCGAGTCGGAACAGGCAGAAGCCCGCCCTCCCAGACACGACCTGTCTGGGACTGGTAGATTGACCGAGAAACGGGCGTTCGGGGTGGTGGTTGACTGGGTGTCTTTCTGGGGCGGCAGTCGCAGTCCTAGACAGCTGGTGTCTGAGTTGGGCTTCAAGGTCGACGTGTACCAAAACCATCTCAGACCCGCCAAGAGAGGTAGCCAGTGACCTGAACTAGGACCCGTCACCTGGGGTACCTTATGAGATAGTCGGATAGTCTAGTTCGGGTCCTTCAACCTCTGGCGGTCGAAGGGCATCGGGTCGGTCACACCTGGACCGACCGATGCCGCGACGGCCGTGACGCCAGTGGTGTGCCGGTGGTGCGCGGGAGAGAGCTCAGTGTGTGAAGTTCAGCTGCAGGGGACTGCGCCATGGCCAGTTGACGGGAAATGGTGCCGGCCTTACTCGCTGCCACCGTTCAAGTGTCCAAGCTCCAAGAGCTTGCGTAGAACGGTAGAATGCTTGTTCACGTTCCACGTTCCGTGCTCAGCACAACATGGTACACTTGTTCGCATGGATGAAGGATTTCTGCCGATTTCTGCCAGCGTTGAGTGATGTTGAGTGTGTTGAGGCGAGCGTCCTTAGACTTGCTACACCACACCACCGGATGGACTTTTCTTCGGTCAAGCCGAGCCGCTGCGGAGTCCGGCCTTTGTGCGACATACCGTTGAAACAACGATACGACCAATACTAGTAGCTAGAAGCTAGTAGGTTGGAGGCCATCACTACTAGTTAACAAGAAGCAACTATATATAGTAGCTCCTGGAACTGCTACTAGTAGCTAGAAGCTAATAGTATGTGTTTTTGTTGAGCTTTTGGTTTTCCCTGAATGCTTGGACTCCCCAGTTGTGGAATGTAAGGTGGGCACCTTCTGGGCCAACACTTCTTTAAATGGTTTTTCTCAAACATCTTCAACTGACTTGCCTCAGAACCAACTCCAAAGCACGCCGCTTTTAGCACCGAATACGTGTATTTTACTGAGGACGCTACTAGGGCTCCTGGCATCGCGAACCGAACGGAGCAAGGTTCGCTACGAACGGGGCTCCCAGAGGCACTCTTGGTCCTTCAGGTGGAAAGGTGGTGGCGATGAATCAGAGTGGAATGTCCCCAGAGCATCATTCTCCTAGCTACGTTCGTAGCTCCTTAGTTACGTTCATAGCGATGCCCTTGTTACTAGTAGCTTCTATACCTACTACCAGTAATGGCCTCCAACCTAATAGCAATGGCCTCCAACCTTGTTACTAGTAGTAATGCCAGGAGCTTCTAGTAGCGCCCCATCGCTCCGTTCGTAGCAATGCCCTTTGTGTACAGATCATTTCTGATCGGCCGACTCCGCCCGCTGAGCCGAACACGCGGCCGTGGCGTGTGCCGCCCAACCTCCGGAACCGCCGGGAGTCGCTTCAGGCCAACCGCGCCTGCTACCGGCTACTGACCCACCTGCAAGAGCGACACCAAGCGCGCGCCCAGAAGCACGGAGCCTCGGGCGGCCGGGACCGCGGCCGAGACGACGGCCCGAAGCGACGGCCGAAGCGCCAGGCGGCCAGACGTGTGTGGTGCGCCTGGTGCGAAGGAGAAGACGGAGAGTCTTTGGAAGAGAGAGTTTGAGACCCCCCCAAAAAGGATTGAGACACTTCTTGAGTATTGAGTAAAGAGGCAAAAAGTCGAGGTGAGATGAGTTGGGTGAGATGATTTCCACTGAGAGCGATGTATTCCTTGCTCAGAAGACAAGCCCAGTCTAAGAAGACAGGGGGAATCTGGAACGACCAGCTTTCATTGTCGAAGAACCTCCAGTGGAGCAGGATGCACAGGCAGCTCGACTGGGGCGAGGAAAAACGAACCCCCGACGGCGGAAATTAAAGGAACAATTTCTGTTTGTGAAAAGGATCAGATCCAGGATGAAAATCAATATGCCCAGACACTCCATGTATGCCATATATGCCTACATTGACCCCCAAAACCACCCCAATGTAGGTAAATATACCATACATGGAGTGTCTGGGATGATAGCTTTCAAATGCTTTCAACATGTGCCGCATTCTTTATGTGTTCCCCTTGAATGTGGCAGATTGAATGTAAAGAGGGTCCCCTGTCGATCTTTTAGCAAGAATTCTTAGGGTGGTTACAAGAGCGTGTTTTGTCAACTTTAGATTCTGTGCAGTATCGACCTTTTGATTGCACGATACCCCTTGTACAGCTTCAAAACATGTTCTGACCCTTAAGAAGCTTGACAAAGCTTATGAAAAGCATGCAGAAAAAGCAAGCACCTTCAAGAACCAAGTGGCGCCAAACCACAACCTCTATTTGGATCCCTTCTGAAGTGAATCAATTCCTATTCCAAGTGTCTTTTCGTGACGCAGCTTCAACATGTTTCAACCAACCTCCTGCGAAACCGAAGCTCGCGTTGACCGAGGTTTGAAAGCTTCGCGTTGACCTATCTCCTCAGAGCGCCTGGGAGCTCGGAGCGGAATTCTCTCGGTATCGATCGATCGGATGGGGATTGGTGGCCGGGGAAGAAGCCAAGCCGCAATCCGTCATCCGTAACAGCTGTGGATGGGATCGGTTCACCGGTGTTTTTTTTGGATGTTTTCTTTGTTGAATGACCACCAACCTTCAGGATGTTGTGTCCAGTGCTCGTGCCTGTAGAACAAGGCACTTTGATCAAAGGCTGTGCCATCAGTGCTTTGCTTGCAGAACAACTCAGAATAACCGTTTGGTGTTTTCTCCATGGGATTGAAGGTGATCAGCTGCTGCTGAAAAGTGCTCACGAGTGCTTTATTGCGATGAGTCAAGGGTGGCTGCCTGAAGAAACCACGTGTCTTGAAGCAGCTTCACACTTTGGTGAATGCGCTTCTTCTCCCAAAAGATCTGCGATCGTCAAAGCGGTTCTCTCTATGCTTGGCCTTTAGGACCTCCGGATGCCCAAACAGCTGCTGAACTTTGATTCAACGTATTTCGATCCCTAAAACCCAGCAAACAACGTTGGGTGCTACACACCCCAGTGTCCATTCACCAGCAACCAGGTGGTATGAACATGCAGAGGGTTGAGGTAGCTACTCGATTGCTACTCAGATAACTGGAGGGCTATTGTGTATGGGATGGTGACAATTATATGTTAATTTGGACTTGGCGGATTTCTGAAAAACAGTCATATTTGTTGACCTTTGCGGTCTTTCAGAATCTCTCAACCCCATATGGATGCATGATTTTCTCAGTTCTTTGTAAACCAAGGCTTTGAGTCTGGCTTTGCCTTCGTTTTCTTCGGTGGACGAGTGGGCATGTTTTCAGCCGCCCTTCTGGTCAGCCGGTCAGCACTTCTCAGGCCTGAAGGACCTGCTGTGGGGCACCTAAACACCGGTGCTGTTTGAGGCCGCGTTTGGCTGATGGGTCGTCTTTCCAACGAAAGAGTATGTAGAACTGGTGGAAAGATAAATAAGGACTGTGATTCCATTAATTAAGATACTAATCGTGTTTCCGAAGGTGGTTTCGGACAAACCGACAAACCTTGACAGTTAAAAAGAGAGGAGGGTTAATCCTAGTCTGGTCTACCGTTGTGAAGAGGAAAGTGCAAACAAACCAACCCAGGGCATCCAGGCAAACCACTATAGCTGGGAGTCCCAGTGGTTCCAGCTCGACTAAAACCAGTCCGACCGAACGAAGGGCCCCCGGTTCCTTATATAGTGCTAACCGGGATGCGCTGGGCAAGGTTTGTTTCCATCAATCCGTTTGTTTGTTCCAATCGCCTCATCGCATCTCACAGCCGCGCCGGACCTACCGACATACCGGTTGGTGGAAGGTTGGTTGCGCAGACAGTTCCCAGAAAGAGCCACCAACCTAGTAGCGATGGCCTCCAACCTAAGAGCGACGGCTTCCTACTTACCGACTCTTGTTGGTGTCCAGGCGGCCAAAACCACACCCAGACACTCCATGTATGCCATATATGCCTACATTGACCCCCAAAACCACCCCAATGTAGGTAAATATACCATACATGGAGTGTCTGGGACAGGGTGGACTGTCACCCGGTTCGCCCCTTCGTTCGTGTTCTTTGCCCCGAGGTGCCGGCAGAGCTCCGAGGTGCGGCGGAACCGTGGTCCCAAAAAAACGGTGCGGAGCACGGTGTGGGTCCAAGGGGGTTCACAGGTTATTTGTTGAAAACATGTTGTTATTTGTTGAGTTTTGCTGTTCAAAGCTGTGAAATGTTGTTCATCAAAGTTTTAAAGTTGGATTGAACAGTTTTGGTGAGGCTCCCTTTTGCTCTTTCGAACTTCGAGTGGAGTGCTCTTATAGAGTGAGTTTCCTTTGCCAAAAGGAACGCCAAACTATTGTCAATAACCCACTCAAACAAACAGATCACGGCACAATGCCACCAACGCCACTGGAGAGGTGACCTCCCTGTGGACCATGAGGCCATCGCACACCACTTTGGCCCAACCAAAACCCACCCTCGGCGGCCCATCGGTCCAAACGCTGTGTGTCCATCAATCAGTCATGGGACACGCTGGGTCATGGGACTGGGTTCGGTGCCTACGACCATTGACCATCACGGCCAGTCACGGGAGTCATCTTCAGTACCCAGTGCCCGGTCGTGCCCCCTGTCGTGGGTCCCTGAAACACGTGGGTCTCGAAGATCACGGAGAATCACGAGGTGTCGTGAGTCGTGAGTAGGAACCCTGTTGAGGTCGAACGACGATGTTGATGTTTCTCTATTCTGTTTTGGCCATCGCTGCTAGGTTGGAGGCATAGTAGGTTGGAGGCTATTTCCATCGTAGGTTGGAGGCCATCGCTAGTTGGTTGGAGGCCACCGTTCCGAGGGTGGAGGCCATCGCCATTCTGTTGGAGGCCATCGGATCGTAGGTTGGAGGCCATCGGCTCTACTTGCCTCTTGGCATGGTGGAACCCTGTCTACCTGTCTACCACCTGTAGACAAAGGCGAACCAAGGCTCGGTGAAGACGTATATGTCAACTCTTGCGTTGTCCACTTCTGAGATCGATTGATCCTTTTTTGCTGAGGGTTGTCACCAACCAATTGCCAACCACCAATGGTCCGCTCCTGTGTTTGGTGAAGTTGTTCACATGTGGGGTTATCCGGTCCTATAATTTGCCGAGGGTTGTCACCATTTGGGAACTGTTAAGTGGAACTTTCAGAGATCGACTATTCTTGGCACAGCTAGCTGAACGACCACTGAGAAAAGGAGCCACATATGAACCAATGAGTTCTGAAGGGTGTACTGTATAAGTGTATGGGTGTGTATCAAAATAGAGAGACTCCCAGTTGTCTACCCAGCCGATCGGGCCGATTGGGGGGGCCTCCCTTTTCAGTGGACTCCCATATAGTCGGACAGATGGGTCTATCCTCCTAAACTCTCTTCGGTCTATGCTCCTCATCCACGCTCGAGTTGCTGCGCAGGGGCCGGAGCTTTAGTTCGCGAGCCCAATTGGAGGGGCTGGAGTTTCAGAAAGCCGAGCAGTTGATTGTTATCACCATTATCACTGATCACGGTTAAGAAAGTGACCCAAGCAAGTAAAATGCATAGATGCACATTGGATATTCACAGACAAACTCCCAGTCAAGTTTGATTCCTCAGATTTGGTGTCTTTATGTGTCTTTGGATTTGTTGTCATGTCATCTGTATGCATTTGTTGGTGTTGGGTCGTCCCCCCAAATCCTCACAGTTGGATCACCAGCTCCGGACGGCCTGCGAAAAACACATTTGTCCACCAGCCAGTCACATGGAGTTGGAGTGGGGCTACACTCGTCTACCTCAGTGAGTGGATGGATCATGGGCGCCCCCCTCCATGAAGCTATTCCTTTGGAACATATTTGTGGTGTGGTTCGTGCAAAAGTGCATAAGCTTCATGGTTCAAGTACCTCGGATCTTCTGATTATTGGGTTGCCGTCTTGGATTTGACAAGTGAGACAATTCAAGACTTGCAAGGTCTTGGCATGTTGAAGTTTTGCATGCAAGTGTTTCTGAGTTTGACTGAACAAGAGGTGGCCCCCCCCACTACCATCTCTGGCAGAAGGTGAAACAAAGTGATGCAGATTCAAGCACGTTTGGATGGCGGACCCTACTCCAAAAACTGACACTGCAGAACGAACACTCAAATCTGAGGAACGAACTGCACGTGATTTGGGATACCACACGATCCACGAACAGTTCCCCGATCTTGTGATCCAATGTGATCCAATACCACCAAAAGTGACCTCAAAATAGTTACATAATTGCTAGTAGCTAGAAGCTACTAGGTGGAGGCCATCGCTATCAGGTTGGAGGCCATCGCTAGTAGCAAGAAGCTACTAGTAGCAAAGGGCAATACTCCCCAGGGTTTCTTCTGTTTTCTGCATTTGTTGCGGCATTTCCGCCACGCGCGAGTGAGGCCAAGACCGAGAACGACGAGATCACTGGACGGCTGGAAGCTCCTCGCCCACCGACACGGTGACACCGTTTGCAGCAAAACAGCGTTGTGTCCACCCCTCCTTTCTATCCCTTGTGTGCTTTTGCAAGGGGGCGATCAAAAACAAGTTGGACTGAACATGGACGTCTTAGGGGAAAACTGTTGAACGAATTGATTGAATGTTTGGACATCATTTTAGACATCTTTGGGGCATTTTTCTGACGCCAGGCTGCATCTATAGAACCATGGACAGCTACCTAAGGGACCAACCTTCTTCAGCCAACGGTGAACATGAGGTGAAGGCTGATATTCTCATCCCAGACACCCAGAACACTTGTAGTAACAGTCACATCACGACAGAACAGAAATCTAGAGTGGTGGTCACCGAGATCGCGTTTTCGTCAATCCGGCCTGGAAAGAAAACCCTGGCAAACCTGTGTACGAAATTCATGTGAGCTGGTTCCACCCAACTACGCTGAAGAAAGAGTTAGGAGTACTTGGTTAGTGAAGGTGGCTTAGATTGGCTTAGCAACAAGATTCAAAGCCTTTGTTCTTTGGTTCAATGCAACCAGAACGAGGAGGGCCAATGGGGCAAATGGGGCACCACATATCTCAACTCACTCCGGGAGAGTGCCACCCGCCACAGGAGGCTTTATGGTAAATATATGGTAAATATTCCTCAACCTCCAAAACGACATGGGGTGTGCTACAAAGGAGCTGGCACAATCTAGCAAAGTGTGCTTGGAGTTAGGTTGTTCTGAATGCTTTAGAGATGTTTTGAGAGAGTTGCCGACTCCAAAGTATGCCGAATCACGCCGCTTTTGCGTGTTTGGAGCTCATCGAGGCGATATGCCAGCCTGACGTTATAAGTGATAGCCAGCTTGACGTCTCATACCAGGATAGAGGATCCAGAAGACTATGTTTTCACCGGCTGAAGTAAAGGAAGTTCCCAGACTCAGTTCCCCTATTAGTCAGACCCTTCGTTTTGTCTGACCCGACTCCGGACTCCCGGCGTTTCGGATCCGGAGGGCGACACATCGGACGAAAGACTCGAAAACGGCTGCCAGGACGGCAGTCCCCGCCCCCCCAGTCGACCCTCCAGTCAAGCGAAAAGTCACCGTGCCGCAGTGGCAGTCCCAGTCGAAGACGTCGTGTCGACTGAGTCAGGGCCGTGACCTCGGCGTCGGAGGTCCGGGCCAAAGAGTCGCAAGCGCTGGAGCAGGAGACCATGGGCAGATGGCGTGATGGCCTCCGCCCGACCTGGGCGATGGCCTCCAAGCTATAGTAGCTTCTTGTTACGAGTAAGGCCAGGAGCTGCGTTCATAGCAAGAAGCTCCTTTCGTAGCGATGCCCTTAGTTCCTACTATGATCCCACTAGCGATCCCACCTGGGCAGATGGACGCATTCAACCCGCAACGACGGGATGAGTAGACGTGAGTTCGTCGTGGGCAGAGATGGAAGATGTTCTGCGATGATGATTTCACGCGGAAGGTACATGACCAATGGCAGATGGACTGCCTATGGACTGCTTACGGAGGGACTACAAACCGTCTTTGAGAGGAGGGACAATCCCTCCATGGAAATGGATCGAGGCACGGACGTCCAACCACCAACGGACAGGTCCAACGGTTGGTCGACGGAGAGAGTTGCACCATCGCCTTTCTCGAAGTAGATGAGGAGGTGGACCAGGGTTTTGACCGTGAAAGTGAAGTGTTCTTGGTCCAACCAGAACTGAGGGATCCAACAAAAAATGCCAACTGCAACGCCAATGGCGTCCAGCGGATTTTCTGCCAAAAGCAAGGCTTCATGGACCATCGCCCATGGGCCGCCCATCGGTTCTTTCGTTCGTTCTAACCGATTGCCAGACCGATCCCAAAGCCCCTTCGAAAAAGGCCCACGATCCAAGTCGCCCAACGAACACGAGAAAAGAGACCGAGAAGTCGCCCGAAGCGCAGCTCAGCCTGGTTCAGCCTGCAGGAGATTTCCAAAGTCCAAGCTCAACTGGTTCAGTCTGTGCGGAAGTCGTCCGGGTGCTCGGTTTTTCGTGGTGACGATGGCGGAGGAGGTCGATCGGGCATGAAGACTGGATCCAGCCCCATCCACTCATGTTGGATGGTCCGCTTTCAAGCTGGGCCTCAGTCATGCGATAGGTCAAATGGAGAAATACACCGGTCCACGTAGCCTGCATGGACCAGCTCAACCAGCTCGTGCTACTTCATTTTCAAGCCGATGTTGAGTCTGGTGGATTCAGGGCCCGAAAGCTACTCCACAAAGCTTGCTGGATGTTGTGAACCATGGTGAAACCCATTTCGCTTGGAGGGAGCGGGGGTGTTTGTGAGGTGATCTTACGTTGAAAACGGTGAAGCTTCACAGGGCATGGACATGGACTGGTTGTTCCCCCAATTCGGGTGCGGACGGACCGTGAGCATCGACCGTTCCAGTGCGTTGTTCACTTCCCCAGGATTGTCCATCCCCAGACACGACCTGTTTGGGACTGGTATATTGACCGAGAAACGGCCAGGGGTGGTTGGTTGACTGGGGGGGTCTTTCTGGGGCGGCAGTCCTATGGCAGTCCCATGGAGCGTCTGGGAGATGTGGAGCATGATTGGGTTGGAGGCCATCGCTACTAGGGAGAGATTGAGGGAAAGTTCAACTTTGTTGGAACCACGGTGTTCGGAAGGCTGCATCGACGGATCACGTCCCTCGCCGCGGATCACGTCTCATGAGGCATGCCTTGCATCAGGAGGCAGCGCAGCTCAAACAGAGGTGGGAAACAACACGATTCAGCCATGGAGCGTCGGATTTGGGATAGGTGAGGATGCTTCTTTGCCCCCTTTTACCCCTTGACACGGGTATTCCATTTCTTCCATGTAAAGATGTGGTCGTGGGTCAAGCCACGGTCAATGTCCGGTGAACATCATATCCCAGACACTCCATGTATGCCATATGTGCCTACATTGACCCCCCCAAACCACCCCAATGTAGGTAAATATACCATACATGGAGTGTCTGGGTATCATATCCTAAGCCCATTGAATCCTGGCACCAACTCCGTCACGTTGGCATCGACTCTGACAGAAGACTTCGAGAGTTGGATGGTGTGAGTTGGTGCTTCGCTTGAGGATGCTTTGTGAGATCGAAGTCTGTCAGAGGTCGGAAGCTCTGGCAGAAGCCCTGAAAGGGCTTGTGGCCTCACAGCATTGGCCGCTCCAACAGAATCCACCGACGCCGCTCCATGGAGGGCTTCATTGGAACCCGAGGTCCCTGACCTGTCCTTCCTGTATCTACGGTGGGCACCAGACCGGCGGTCCACAACGCCTTTTGGTTGTCATGTTGGCCTTCCCACAATACCCAGACACGACAAATGGGACTGGTATATTGACCGATCAGGCCAGGGGTGGTGCCATGCAGGTCAATGGGGCGGCATATATGCCATGCATGGAGCGTTTGGGATATCTTATTGTTTCTATTTTGGCACGACATGGCTGTGGTCCGCCACCCTCGCACGCCCCGAACATCAGCAGAAGAATTGACTACCAATTAATACCAATAGCCTAATAGCATTCCTTTTATTGAAACACATCTGCTTGCCGAGAGAAGACTGACTGAGGTCTGGACCATCACTATACTCCTGTGAGCCACAAGCTGGAAAAAACAAGTCAAGGACAGCAACAACAACACTTCAACAAAGCAGACACCACAGCATGCCTCAGTGTAACACCGTATTTGTTCATTGTAATTCACTCAAATGTCCAATCACCGATCATATCGCTAAGTGTCCTGATAGTTTGGCCTTAGTACAGACGACACAAAGGTGTCCTATTGAGGTATTTGTTTGGAATCGAAGAGTAGACCCTTTGAGGCCTTATCCAAAGGACCCTCTTTTTAGTATTTGTTGTCTATACCTGCTGGATACCCCAACGGATAGCCCCCAACAAAAACCCAACTCGGCGCAGGTGGAGCCTGCTTCAGGCCGCAGAGGAAGCAGCTGGCAAAGGCGGCGCTGCCTCGTTCAGCGCAGCTGCACCACCTTGGCTGCCGGGGGGTGCAGTTCAGAAGTCCTACCCAATTGGGTTGTTTATTCCCGCTTGGCCTTTTTCCTCGGGGGACGGTTTTCTCCCGAGTTCTGGAAGTGCGTTGAAGTGGTAAGTGGAAAATGGTGATGACCTGGAGCGAACGCCCGGCACTGCTGATGGAAAGCATGAGCACTGCCACTGGAGATGGACAATAGCCCACACTTCACGGCTATTTTTTCGGAGGCTGCAGGTGGAAAAGCATATCTTTGATCAACAGTAGTGCAAAAATGCCCAGGTTGACTCTGCCACGGTGAACATGCTAGGATCTGTACAAGGGGGCACCTACTTCCAAACCCATGCAGCATGCATATTGAAATGGGACGCCACGTCTTATCACTGTCAGACCACGGGAGAAATGTTGGAGTTGGTGTGCTTCAGACAAACGATCGACGACATGGAAGTAGAGACATGTCCTTCGAAAGTAGACGAAAGTCATCTTGAAGGGGTTTGGTGGTCCTCTTAATTCAATGCGTGTCAACCGATCAGGAGAGTCTAATCATTTTGGACCGATGTCGCGTGCGAGATGGCTAAACAAGACAATCACAAGCCAACGCAATGGCCCAAAGAGGTCCAAACCGATTTGCCGATCTTCCCCAAATTCCTTCGGCCAGGTTGGGCGTGGTCCTTTTTTGGATCTATCCCTCTCGCACGCGTTCTTGCGGCAACTTCTTGTTGAAGAGTTTTGATCAGCAGACACTGACCTTTCTGCCCAGCATCAATCCCAAAAATGCAATGCCTTGGCCTAAGCATGTTGTTTTGGTGTCTCAAAGGATCCGGATCTTCGTCACAGTTCGTCATCAGTGTGCAGAGAACACATCGCATGATTCGGCTTTCCTTCCAAATCATCCCACCCTAATGGCGTGAAGAACCGCGAGGGTATGGCGGCCATGATCATGTCTTGGACACTATGGTTTCTATCTATCCCAGACACGACACTCGTGTGGTATATTTACCCAGAAACGGCCAGGGGTGGTTGGTCTTTCTGGGGGTCTTTCTGGGGCTTAGCGTCCGTCCCATGGCAGTCCAGTCGTGTCTGGGTCTCTTGACCCTTTGACCTGGTCTCCCTGAGACCGTCGAAAGGGTCGGGGTCATGGCCGGCAGTCGCATGTGACGTCCACTTGGCGCAGGAGGGCTTCGACACGTGGCCAAGGAGTTGCGAGAGGTGGTGCAGCAGGTGGGCACGGCGGGAGCGTGGGCACGGCGGGAGCGTGAGCACGGCTCACATAGTTGGGTTGCGGGTGAGGAGCTGGTGAATCCCAGCTCCTCATTCTGAGGCTTGGGCAGGGGGCGTGATGGGGGTGATGAGGGGTTCCAACGTCTTCCATTCTGAGGATGGGGAGCTTTAGGGTACATCAGGAGGTGACTTGTGTGGATGGTGATGGTCGGTATGGCTGGGTGAATGTGAGGATTCTACGAATGCTTCCGATACCTCAAGGCCGACTTCTTGATGTTGAAGGATGGTGGAATCTTCTGGGTGAGCTGGTCTCTTCAGGACGCAACTTCTTCTGAGTGTGCCTGATAATTATTTTTGTTGGCTATGTGTCGCATATGCACCGAGCATGCCATGCTGTGTGGGGTGTGATGTTTTTTCGGTCCTCCAGGTGGCTTTTGGACGGACGATTAAGTGGCCCAAGTCCGCCTGTCCAGACGTTCAGCACTCGACAGAGCTCGAGAAAAGCAAGATCTGGAATGGCCTCCTTTCTTCCTCCAGCATTTCTTCCTGCTTTGGCCATCGTTCGAATAGCGGCCTCCAACCGGATCGCCAGATGAAGAGGAAGACTCTGGGATCGTCGGTGTTGTAATGTGTCGCAGGAGGGAATCCAACCCTCCAAAGCTGCGTGTGTTGGTTCGGGTTCCGGATTCTTAGGGTTGTCTGGTTGTCTCCAGGGTTGGTACACGTGCTGGATGGATTACGGTCACATCTGGGCCCCTTCTTGGATCTGCGGGTGGAGAGGATAGGGTACTAGTACACAGTTCAGTCTCAATGACATGTGTACTGGTCACAGTAACATCTCATAGGGCAACGTTTCCCTGCCAAAGCTTCGCTTGGAATCCTTGCCATCCTTGCACTATTTGTTTTCTCTATGATTCTAGCACGCATGCTTTGAACAATTTTGCTTAACGACCATGTTGCTGGAGATGTTGAAACTCCAAAACGTACCATCGCCTTTCTGGTCTTTTGTACAAGAGAAAGCCCTACAAGAAGAAGAGAAGAGGCCAGGCCTCGGCTTCTTTCAGGATCGACTTAGACTCCTTTCTGTTCTCTTCGTTTGGGACTCTTTGGATCCCCGACCTTCACTGAAACGGTTGCTGTATGGCCTGGCGACAGGTGGGCCAGCTCACGGGGAAGGTCGGACCCGGCGTGTCGAAGAGAGGGGGCGAACACAGCAGGTCCTTGGTCCAGCCTGATCCTCTACGGTCCAGCTACATACATCTACATAGAACAGGGGGGGTGAGGGGCGAATAGCGGCATTGGAGTTGCCATTTGGAGGCCATTTGGTAGTACATTGGAGTTGTAAGACTTCCACTGCTGCTTAAGAGATGTTCGATGGTCTGGGTGCTTTTTGGGGGGGTCCCGCCAAGTCGTTTTTATCGACATCCGCTGCTAGTCGCAGTGTGCCTTTGGAATCATTTGGAGAGATGGAAAGGTGGATCGAAGATTGCTTGGAAACCCTTCCTCATCAGAAGTCACTACAGAAAGAACATGAAAGAACCAACTTCCCACAAAAAATAAAGAACAAAAACTGGTTCCTGTGCTTCAGTTTGTACCAGCACCCTCCAATAGGTTCACTAATGAAGACCTTCTAGACGGCCCCAACCATCTAGAGGTGCTCAGAGGTATTGTAAGTAAATGGGGGTCGCAGAAGTCATTTGTTGGCTTGATGAATGCCGCCACCTTCTTCACCGACTGTTTCTTTCACAGGCACAAGATTTTCTGCGCAGTCATGGTCAAGAGGGAGTGAGCCGTCACCTTCTGTCAGATCGGTGAGCGGTGCTTTTCCTCGGGCACGGCGGGTGCAATGGCTTGGACCGGACAGACCGGACGATCGATGAAGCACTCGGACGGCCGTTCGATTCGGCCGCGGAATCCGCACAGGAACATCTCCCCTATGCCGACCTCCAGCATCAGGCCGCGGCAGAACTGCTCATGGCGGCCCATGGCGTGGCGTGCGACTCGATGTGACGTACGGGAGAAGGGGTGAAGCGAAATGCATCGCTACGAACGTAGCTTCTGGCTTCTTCGAACGTAGTGTGCCTCGTTACTAGTAGAAGCTTCGTTCGAACGGCAACTGTTGCAGCGGCTTCTTCAGAACGTTCAGAAGTGGCCCACAGGGTGTTTACTCAACGCACGAGTTGGCGGGTGGGTGTTGACTCAACCCCCCAAGGCCTGCCACCTTGGTCAAAGCAGCCTGCCACCGTTCTGCGCAGTACGTACTGCGCAGTGAAAGAGCCTAAAACATGGTTTGCACGCGCAGATGAAGACCTGATTGGGGATCCATCTCTTGCTTTCAAGTGGCCCACATAGGTACTTGGTACTGGCGTTTTTTGTCCAGTCGAAAGATTGCCTTTCACAGGGACAGCAGAAAACCAGCTTGTTATCCAACAAGTTGAGCTAAACTACCCTCTGAAGTTGTCATCAAACTTGAGCCAAACGCTCTGTCTACCAGCCGAAGCTATTTGCTGACTCTCACCGACATTGCTTATTCCAATAGACCATATCCCCACAACACAACTTGCATCCTTGGCTGTACAACTGGCACCATCCCACGCGGCCTCGGACGACACCAGGCTTCCCCGCAGAAGCGGCGGAACTTCCTGGAGGATCTCGAGGCGCGCGCGGACCGCGCGGAGACGTCGCGGAGACGGACGTCGTTCGAAGGAGACGAGGATTTCCCAGCTCAGCCACCTGAAATGGAATCTCCAGAGACCAAGCTACTAGCAATGGCCTCCACCCCAATAGCGATGGCTCCACCCTAATGGTGATGGCTGATTGCTCCACCCTAATAGCGATGGCCTCCACCTGAAATTGGAATCTCCAGAGGCTAGGCCTCCAAGGGAGAAGGATAGCACCAGGTGACCATAGCCCAGGTGGGCTGCTATGTGGAGAACCGAGGTGCTTTTGGCATGTCGCAGAACTGGTCTCCTGACTCCTGCTAGTTCCCATTGGATTTGCACGGACTGTTGCATTGAAACTTTTGAGTTCACTTGTGGACATGACACTATGACATGAGAATAAACAGAGATGGTTGACCTATGAGCCTATGAGCACTTGATTCTGGAGCCAGCTGGATTCACCATGATACTCAGCTGTTTGGCCCATCTTCAGCCTCGGTGTACGGACAGTGTCCCAATGGACAATGGCCCCAGGGAAGACCATGAAATCCACTACAAACAGGTAGCTTTCCACTTCCATGTAATGTGTTCGTCAGAGGGGATATCCTCAAATCAATTAATGGCTCATAATAGCTCTATATGACACCCTAAATGCCTGCTATTTTGTGTACTTGAATGTCTCATTGAACATCCGGCTCAGTTTCGGCCACACCAGGTTGAAGAGCCAGGAGCCCAGCACAAAGAGCTGTGAGGTTTTTGAAGATGCTGCAACCTCTTCGTCATTGGCTCTTCCTGCACCCATTGGCTCTTCCATGGGAGGGGTTCATCAATGATCAATGGAAGTTTGTGATGCCCGGCCCTTTTTGGGGCTTTTGAAGCGAAAGAGCGCGGGAAGTCTTCCTGCACAAATCCAGATATTTTTCATGGTGGGACTACCAAGTGCCTCCCCAGAAGCTCGGTTCCACGACAGAAATTTCTAGTTGAGCAACTTCTACGCGGATGAAGCACCCACTCGCAAGGTGTTGGCGGGATTTGTGGCACGACCATGTGTTCGCCATCGACAGGTGACGACACGTCATGACCATTTGGGCACGACATGTCGCAGGTCCTTGGAATCCATGAGGGGAGACGATATTGCCTCCAACCTAAGAGCGATGGCGAGCGGTGGCCCTGCTACCTTCGTAGCGTCCGAACGCTCCTAGTAGTACGGCCAGGAGCCCCGAACGTAGCGTCCTTGTTCCTATGGCCTCCAACCGAGCTAGCAAGGAGACTGGACACCACTTCCCTTTTGATCGACCTCCACGAAGCACCTCCCAGTGCGAGTCTGGACTTATTTGGACCATCCCCTCAGCTTTTCGTTGTGGTAGTGCAAATCTATAACTACCCACCCATGTAGAGAGCTGGCAACAAAGCTGAAAGGTCAGAGACTTCTAGGAACTGGATCTGGGGGGGGGTAGGAGCAAGGACGCTACTAGACTAGAACAATGTTCGCTACGAACTGGGGCAACTACTAGCATCGCGAACCGAACGGAACAAGGTTCGCTACGAACGGAGCTGGACTTAATAGTTCGAGTTCCAGGACCGTTCAACCAGGGCGATGTGTAGCTGCTACCATCCGCGACACCCAACTCGCGTCTTCTGGGGGCTCCAACTTCCCAAAGAACGAAGGTACACTCCAACGAAGGTACGCTCCCGGCTCAAGTGGATCAAGAAAGCACCTCTTTCGGATGGTTTCGGTATGAAAGCGGTCGAATCTGCCTTAGATGGGCTGACTTTTCCTAGAAACCATCGATGATTTCAGGGAGTGTGAGGTGCGACATGAGGTCATTTGATCTTGAATGATCTTGAGTTCCTCCATGGCTTGAGGTCATCTCCTAGGGTCGCTTCTGCAGTTATTCCTCCATGGGGACCCCATTGTTCGAAGGTCGAAGCCGCCTGAGGTGGCCCGAGACGCCCAAGCGGAAGCGCTTCAGCCTACTGGGCTGAGATGTTCCATGTGACGCGGCCGCGGAGCAGCGGAGCAGCGGAGCCAGAGCGGCGAGGTTGATGGAGTCATGGAATGTGTCTCACGCGAGAAAGGTATCATTTCCTCTATAGCGATGGCCTCCAACCCAAATAGCGATGGCCTCCAACCTACTAGCGATGGCCTCCCACCTACTAGCGATGGCCTCCAACCTACTAGCGATGGCCTCCAACCCAAATAGCGATGG